CTCAACCGTCCTTTGCCTTATCCTTTCCTTTTCTTTCTATACCGTCCACCCGATTCGGGTGGAGGGCGTAGAGTACTTGGGGACAACGGTGGGCTCGTGACATCCCCTCTTTCTGGCACGTGAAAAGGGTAAGGTAGCGTTAACCGATAGCCTTGTGCTTCAATCATCCTTTGCCTTATCCTTTTCTTTCTATACCGTCCACCCGATTCGGGTGGAGGGCGTAGAGTACTAGGGGACAACGGTGGGCTCGTGACATCAACGCTGATAATGAAAGTTCCAGTCGTTCTTTTTATCAAAGCATCTTCAATCGGAACAACGAAAATTTCGACTCTAAAAAGGGTCGCGTGAGCGGAGTGCACCGAATGCATGTTGATGAGGGCCGGCTTCTGAGGAATTAATATGTACTCACGAATCAAGGGGGTATGCCGTCTTCGTCAAAGAACGCACTCCAAGGATGAGAGGTACAGTTCTCAGTCGTTCAATCATAAGAGATATGCACCTCATCAAGATTATTATGTTCGAAAAAGGTCCCGCACGAATGTTTCAGAATATGTCTCACGCCAAGTTCGCTCATTCGTGTCTACCGTGAAACGTTAGTTGCTCGGTGCTTTTAGATCGGGAGGGGGAGGAGACTGATGGCTTGCAGGTCCAGTAACAACGTTGAAGGTTGCACGACGGTGTGATCCCCTCCAGCTCACAGCGTTTGCTTGCGACGCTATCTCTAATACCAGTGGAGGACGTTCAAGGGTTACGAGAAGTGATTCTAAGACCATCACTTGCTCATTGAGAACTTTCACTTACCTATTTTTGAAGTAATGTAGTGGACTTTCCTATGCAGACACTCGGATCTCATTTCAAACTAATCATGGACTTTCGGCAATCGTAGCAGCAGAGGGGAAAGCGTCGTTGTAATCGCAAACGCTTCATGAGATTGGACTACGCTCAGAGCTGCCCATTTAGCCTCTCACGGGAGGATGAGTAGATCTACGAAAGCATAAGAACTCGACGAAGAACAGGATTCATCCTGCCGCTCAATCTCGCTTTGCTACATTCGTCCAAGTTTGCCGGTGGCAAGTCCTCCAGTACCCTCTCCTTTTGGGTCCTGTAAGGGTAGTTTTTATTTTTAAGCGACGAGGGTCCTATCCATTCTAACAATCCACGTTTCTATTTGTTTCTCAATCCTAGAACTCTTTCCTGGGCACTGTCTGCACCATGTGATGTGTCTCAGAAGACCCACGCGAAATCGCCCCCGCCGACATGCGATCCGAAAGCAGGTATGGTTCGAATGTACAGAAGTTGGTCCGATTGATTGACTGGAAATGGCATTCAAGAAGAGAAAGAAATTAGCCGCATTTCCCGACTCTTCGGTTATGTGAACTGGATTCCCATTGGCGATTCCGCAATACCTAGTTCCACCGTTCCGCTCTGGTACGCATCAACACCTTGTAAGTAGCCGGCGGAGAGGCATTTATTAGCGACGGTCTCTTTGAGGTATTGCCGGTCCATTTATATACGGTCATTCCTTCACAGGGTAATAGCATCAATGCCCTGCAAAAGACCGAAAGAACGCCTTCAATAAGATCCTGAAGCCCTTGCTGTGGAAAACCCTCCACCCATTTTCAGGCCGGATTCCAAACATTTTTTCTAGAACGAAATGTGCATGAAATTCGGCTATTTGAATGTCCCCAAATCTGTACCCCAAACGCCGGGATGGGGTTATCGACTCTCTGTCACATAGATAAAAAGTTCCGACTTTTAATCGTCTCGGCTAGCTTCCACAATCTCAGCCCATACAGCCACAAGAGTAGAGATGTGATTGCTGACCAGAATTTAGCAGCAATAATACCCCATATCAGTATCCATACAGATAGACGAGGGTGATCAACAAACCTCTTCATTAAAGGGTGTATCTGAAGAACGGACTTTTATCCCCCATATCCAACAATTCACCTTCGCTATATTTCTCCCGAATCTCATCAGGATCCATACTGTCTCTTCTAGTGTTTTCGCGTTGATACAGGATGCGCAAGGCAAACGCGAGAGCGGCCGCGGTTAGCATAATGGCGAAACTGATCCCATAGCCAGGGAAATAGCGAGGCTTGGTGGATTCGAGGTAGATGTTTGAGCCAAATAGACCACCGACGAGATTGCCCACTGTCAATAGTATTGCCATACCAACAGCACGTTTGGATGAAGGTGCCATATTGTTCGCTAAAATAGACAGCGTCAGTATAACTTGCTTGTGGCTAAGGGGTGCCAGTGCAACTGAAACTTACCGAACCAACCTAAGGCAGGCATAATGGGGCAGAAAATTCCACTTGCGGCGACGAATAAGAAGCCATATGTCACACCAGGATACTTGGGATGTGGGATAATTATCAGAGCGAGGAAACCACACGCTCCTAACAGGAAACCGCCAATCACAAATGGAGATCGCTGCTTGACTCTGTCGGAAGCAAGTGCAACAAGCACAGTCACAGCTGTTGCGCAGACGTAGATAGGAACGACCATGAGTTGCTGGTGGGTTTAGAGATTAGCCATAAGTAATCAAGGACAATTATAAAGGGTATACCGACAGCTTTTGTGGTGGTATATCCTAATTGCACGACCACAGTGGGGGCTGTGTAAGTGAATCTGACCCATGTGAGTTCTCTGGCAAAATTGGTCCAGTCTTTCTGAACAGGAGCCTCACCCGTAGACAGGAATTCCATTGCCGAGCCACATGAGACAACCGAGCCATAACTTGTACTCCTTGAAGGCAGCAATAATATATTTCCTATCGATCTTTTCATCGTTGGTGACGCGGCCCTGTCCCGAGCCGGTCTGCATTTGCAAGTTGCTGACCACAAATTTCTTCTCGTCCTCTTCGAGGAACTTAGCGCGTTGAGGGCTGTCAGGGATGGTGAAGGCGGCAATCAAGCCGCATACAACTGTGAATAGCCCCTCTAACAAGAAAATCCACTGCAGGAGCTTGAAGTCAGCACGATTATTTGTCTGGAAACGTCGAGTATTCCGCTTGAAAGTCTTTCCTCTTCCCCCAAAATACCCTATTTCACCAATTAAAGAAAAGGCATCAATTCACTCACCCTCCATCCAGCGAGCCCAGCAACACCATCCATATGCTGTATAGCAAAGGCCAGTAGGCCAGAGAACGCACCGGCGAGAGATGCACCAGCGTAGAAAACGGCAAACCGCGTTTGGACCTGGTATCGTTCGTACCATATGGTCAAGAAATAAGATATCCCCGGAAAGAGCCCTGCCTATGACCACCTGTCAGTAACGTGAACAATAGATGGAAAAAGAGACCTTACCTCGGCAACACCGAGAAAGAATCTGGCCGCGATGAGACCACCATAAGATTGAACCTGGCTCATGAGAGTCATCACAATCCCCCAAGCAACAATCAAGAATGAGATCCACAAGGACGGCCGGACCATCTTCAAGACGATATTACTCGGTACTTCAAGAAGGCCATAGGGAATGAAAAAGACCATGACCACAACGTTGTATTTTATTCCCATCAGATTCAGGTCGGTTTGCATTCCCGCAATTTTGGCGTTTCCAACTGACCGATCCCAAATCAGTTAAGTTCGAGGAGAAATGGATGATACCTAGAGAGGTCATGCGAAAGGGAGGAGAACTCACTGTTGCCGCGATCAAGATACGCCAAAAGGTAAAAAAAGGTAACTTGGGGAACTATCCACAAATCCAGTTTTCGAATCACTCTCTTCTTCTCCTCCGGCGTGAGCTCAATATGTGATACTTCGGTCCTGACAAGCTCTTCAAGACGCTCATCAAGTTCCTTGGAGTCATGCCCGTTGTGAGCCTTGCTGGCGACCGCTTGCTCTTCGATGCACGCAACCCCATCTTTGTCTGCCATTGTGTTTAAAAGTCAGATCAACCTCGAAGAAGGTATAAAGTCTGGGGCATTCTGCTTTGTGGAGTCTGTCGCTTCTTCCATGCGCTTAATATAGGTTTTGTGCAGGCACCCTCCCGAAGTTCTGCTTCGCCGACAAGCGGGGTCGATGGAGCCGACCCAGCCGGGGAATATTGATCTGGTTCTGGAGACACCCATTTTCCGGTAAGTAACAATTGTGGATCCCCGTCTGTTTTGGGTTGACCCACATTGCCAACTCGGCAGCTGCTCGGCAACACGAAAATATCCCTTGACTGCCCTTGCGATGCTTAACAAAACACTACGCGAGCATAGACATATGTCGCCCTTGCCGGAACCATCAGCGGACTGTGGTCGTTCCAGCAATATCGTAGCGGCATGGGGCCATGGAGTGTTTCTTGTCATTTGAATACACGCTGAAAGGAGGGGTTGGCCAACGACATCGGCTATGCAGTTAGCAAAGAGACTTTTTGAGAAAGTGTAGGGCCTTTCTGTTATTTTTTTTATACTGTAACAGAGCACTTCAGGGTTCGCATGCACGTCCAACAACGCACAGAGGCCTGTCCAGCAGGTCGGGAATCGAGAACGCGTTTCTGGTTGACGCTGGCAGGGCAACACCACCACCAACAACACCCCCAGAGAGGCTGCGGCTAGGACAGCGAGCATCTAGCACGGCGACGGCATTTAGAAGTAGGAAACGGCCGACGAAACCCTCAGGAATAAGTAGTGGGCATCAAAAAATAGAATACTCTGTCAAATCTGTAAAGAATGGCCCTCTGCCAGCACTGTGAACTGTTCAGCACTCCCCCTTAAGCCCATTTTGGTTTCAAATGTGACTAGACAACTCTCCTTCCTGCTACCCCCCATACCATTCCAGCACAGCCACTTTGCCTTGTCACAGTACCTTGTAAACGATCTTAGCTATACTGCCTTGGTGCATCTGTGCAACCACCTTACTTTCTTTCTGGGGGCTGCGCTTCTCGTGCTTCTTCCTCACATTGTGTATAAGCATTTACAGTCTCAGAAAAGTGTATACGAGGTGGACACAAGCTCAATTCCATACTAGGAACCCCCAGCTCTTGCGCAGTTTCGATCTCCCTTGTTCTCACAATGTATATCGGAACTCAGCTGCCCCTTCGATGACTCTGGTACCTGCGTCTGCCTGTCGGTTTGCGCGCCGAAGCAGCGGCATCATAACCAAGGTTATGATCATGGGAACAGCAATCGAGACCATGGTAGCAATGATTCCAGGGATATAATTGGGGGTATCCTGAAGGAAGTTAGATCGACGTTCGCATAGTCAGTTTGAGGGGCCACCAACCTGCTGCCTGAAAACAAGGGCCGAATAAACCCCTCCCACACCTCCCATCATTACCTGAATTGCAGTAGCAACTGCGCGTTTAGCGTCGCCACGCATGTTGTTGGCCATCCAGGCTAGCGTGGTTGCCGCTAAAGCATTGCCGCCAATCTGGCCGAAGAAGACACCGGTGTATCGTCCTGCAGGGTTGCTACACCACCCCACCATGGCAATACCGACAATGGCGAAGACAGACGTTCCGAGGATAAAGGGCCCTCTGAATTTCAATCTGTCAGCGACATAGGCGGTGCCGATGGCGATAAGGGCTGAGACAAAAGCCGGAGGAGCCGTCAGCAGAAAGGACGCCTCCTGGGAGAAACCCATGCCGCGGCGTAGGATGATTGGAAGAAAAAAGGTATAGCTGTAATTCGAGGTGCAGGCGGAAAAATGGCTCGATGCGCTGTCCGCAGCGTCAGTGTGAAAGACTCATATCACGCACGATGGTCGAACTTGCATTGCCCAAACTCGCCAATCTGCAAAAGTGGCGCCTACGACCTTCCAAGTGACCTTTTCGGTCTCATGTAGCCCTCGATCAGCAACGAGACGATCGTGGACGATGATCTTTTCGTCCTGAGTCAAGAACTTGTTTCTCTTCGAGTGGGGGAAGTCCACCAAAATCAAACGAACGAGAACAGCGACCCCGAGAGTCAAACAACCTTCAACAATGAAGATCCATTTCCAGCCATTCACTTCGGGCTGTTGAGCAATCTGAGTGAGGCCGTAAGCTAGAATGTTGCCAAACCCTGACAGGAACATCCCGATCATGGCGAAGATGGCTATCCTGTTTCGGTCAGTGTCACGGGATTCAGTAGTAGGACCACACCGTGACTGACCTTAGTTGAACTTCGTACCTGGGGTACCAAGAACCACATAGGTAAACCGCGCCGGGATAAATGCCCTGGAGAGGGTTCATGTTCAGTATCCTCTAAGACTAACAGTAACCGTGGAGACAGCATACGGCTTCCAAGAGACCCAGAATAACCCGACACACTGCCAGTGTTTGCCAATTCTTGCTGTAACCTATGCCGATGCAGACCACTCCCCAGCATACTGCTAGGAAGGACATCCAATTCGCTGCTCCCAACTTTTTGATAAGGATGTTGCTTGGAATCTCCATGACGATATAGCCAATGTAGAAGACCAGAACTATCGACAAGTGTTAAAGAGCACTGCACTTTCACAATCGACCCTTCTAACTTACTGACAATAGAAGCCCTTGACCCCACGTCAAGGTTGGTGGCTTCATCGATACCAGCGATCCGGGCTCCGCCTAGGTTTCCTCTGTCGATGAGGGAAACGGCGTGAAGCAAACCAAGAATCGGGACCAGTCGGGCATCGATTTTCCTGACGATTTTCCTGACGACTCTTGGATTGATCTCTTGTTCGGCTACATGGCCTGTTACCTTTTCTTCCGCGTGCTTGAAGTCGCCAGCCTTTTCCGTGCTGGAGAGGCTAGCAACTTCTGCGACAGAATAGGGAAGATTATTTTTCATGGTAATGATGGTAAGTAGTGAAGATCAACAGGTCGTTCAACGTCGGGGATTTTCTTGTGAGTGATGCACAAAAAGAGGGGAGCTAAACGATTTATATCCATCAGAGTTCGCATATAAGGCTTTGGCAGTCAACCATTCCGCCTGTGGGGTTGCGAAATAGCCGAAAGACGGGTACCAAGGGATGTAGGCTTGCACGAAATGATTCACAGATTTTCCTCTCATGACATCGTCGGCAAGCAGCTCTAGCCTTCTTTTGTACCGGCTCCTTGGATGCTTAATTGCCAAACTGCTGAAATTGGTGGGCAGATGAGCCTGCAGGTTAATCTGGTGCGCAAGTGATTCGAGCTCCACAACCACTTTCAGAACATATTTCAAGATGCGATTAAAGGAGTTCCACTAGATGCCACGATGAGTTAGCAAAAGTCGTATATCGCGAGAGAGAACAGGCAATTACACAGCCGGGAGTGTCGAAGGCGCGAGTCGGCTTCTTAGTGGCATCGCTGACGGGACAGGAGCTTGACCGAGATCATGTAGCTGAGGGGTGGTTGCAAAGCTTCTCTTGTTTACTATTGAGACCCCGGGAAAGGGGCTGTAATCCCCAAATCACCACACGTATGTTTCCTGGAGCCCCACATCCCCAGACAGAGCCAGAATCTCCTGGCATATATGGTCAGCAAGAAGTCTCATCTCGATCTCACTTGTGTGGCAAGTCCAAAGGCCCATTGACATTATGAGCGAAGCCAACGCCCACTGCAGAAAAAGGGACTCGACGTAGATCCGAGATCTTTGTCATGGAGACCCTCGAGGAGAGGCCTCAAAGACACTACAAGACATCCGCCATCTTGTACGCGTCTGGAGTGTCATTTGGAGCGGCGTCATATGGCTTTGCGTCGAGCATCATCTCCACCACGATCGGCCAGCCAACCTTCCTGGAATCTATGAAACTTGAGCGTGCCTCCAACGCATCCGAGATTCTGGGCGCATCGAACGCACTCTTCTTTGTTGGCGGCATCATTGGTAGCGTCTTGGTCAGCGTGATAGCCGATCGCTACGGTCGCAGGCCCGCCATTGCCATTGGGGCGACCATGATCCTCTTCTCTAGTGCCCTGGCAGCCGCTTCGCAACATATTGCCATGTTTATTATCTTCAGGTTCATCAATGGTATCGGGTACGTCCCTCCTGTTCGGACGACATCTCCTTGGAGGCTTGCGCGATTGTTGACTCCCAGCAATTCTGACACGTTCTTTTCTAGTGGCTACATGGCTTTGACCACGGTTCCGCTGTGGATTACCGAGAGCGTACCGCCCAAGGATCGTGGTATTTTATCGGATATCAATCCCATCTTCAACAACATTGGATACAATGCCGCCTCATGGGTGGGAGTCGGGTTCTTCTTCTACAAGGGAAGTAATGCCTGGCGAGGTCCACTAGCTATAGGGTGTCTATTCCCTATTCTGTGCTTGGTGTCGCTGTGGTTCGTGCCGGAAAGTCCTCGTTACCTTCTGAGCAAGGACCGAGCAGAGGAAGCTTGGAAAATCGTCCGTTCTCTCCACACGCGCAACGGCGACGAGAGCTTTGCGCGGCGTGAATTTCAGCAAATGCAAAGCCAGATCGCCTTTGATCGAGCGCTGAATGTTGGTTGGCTTGGGATGCTTCGACGGCCATCCTATCGCAAGCGGGCGTTGATGGCATTCTTTCTCGTCTTCATTCTCGTTAGCTCAGGCATTCTGGTGGTCGGAAGTAAGATCACTCTCTAAGGTCTTCACTATACGGAGATATCCTTGACTGACGGATACTTCAGACTATGGAACCATCATCTACAGTCAGCTGGGATACGGCACTGAAGCCCAGCTCTTCCTACAGGCCGGCTTCTTGGGAACGGCATTCGTGTCCAACATTCTTGCCGTGCTCGTGGTGGACCGCATGCCGCGGCCGACTCTGATATGTCTGGGTCTGGTCGGCTGCATGGCGTCTCTAACCTGTGAAGCGGCCCTGGTGGCAACCTACGTCAATAGTGAGAACAAATCCGGGCTCTCCGCCTGTGTCGCCATGTTATACCTCTATGTCTTCTGCTACGGCCTGCTGCTGGATGGTGTCACTTGGTGGTATGCCTCAGAGATATTCCCCACCCATCTCAGAGCACATGGTATGAGTATTGCTATGGGAACATACGCCCTGGTCAATATTATCTGGCTCCAGGCCGCGCCCACCGCCTTTGAAAACATCGGCTGGAAGTATTATCTATTCTTCATCGTCATCACCACCATTGGCGCGGTGATCATCTGGTCTACCTTCCCCGACACGCTGAACTTATCTCTTGAAGAGGTGGCTAGGCTGTTTGGCGATGATGATCTGGTTGAGGCATATGAATTGCACTCTGGGACTGCAGAAGAAAACAAGAAGCATGAACTCATTGCGAAGGTGCAAGGAATCTCCCTACACAAGAGATGCACCAATTAAATTCGCTATCAGGGTTCTCAAACGGCAGAATTGGGCTGGGAAGCATTCTAATTGCTACTGAATCGGAGGTACTGGTGAAGGGGAGTGTAATTGCGGCCGGGCATTTGCTCCTAAGAACGAGCGACGACGTCTACTTGGTATGCTACGTAAACCTTAGCTCAGTTCTCAATTCTCGAAGTCAAAGGCAGAGGGGGACTTAATTATCCACCTGCCCGTACATTGTTTGGCAGATAATCCTCATGAAGCTGCTTGATCTGTCTCGCTACGGAGAATCGAGCTCCTCCAATTAAGTTGCCTTCTCTTCGGTGCCCGTTGATTGCGCATCAGTCACTCAATATTAAGTGAACTTTTAGCCATATATCTACGAAGACAATCCACAAGACAGAAACAGGGTCTGTCTCAAAACAGGACTGTGAGCCTGCGGGTAGACTTTCCTGATTCCATCTTGGCGATCATTTCAGAGATTTGGTCGATCTTGAAGAACTCGGAGCGGGGGGTGATGTTATGCTCAGCCGTGAACTGCATAGCCCTTGCCAGCTTGGAAGGCTGGCCTGTGTTCTCAGCTTTGATCCGGTATAGCTTACGACACAGATCGTTTGGGTCGAAAGTAATGCCTTTCGGTGGTAGACCAACCACCATTAAGACTCCACCAAGCCCGACGATCTTCATAGCAGTATCGTAACCAGCCTGCACTGCACTGAAAACAGCGGCCGCACGGACACCACCGTTCGTTGCCCGTTTGATGGTAGCTTGCCAGTCAGACTGTGCGCTGGTGTTAACGACAAGATCCGCCCCGGCATCCTTGGCGACCTGGAGTGCCTGGTCGTTGACGTCGATGCTAATGACTTTGAATCCCATGGCCTTCGCGTACTTGATGCCAAATAGCCCAAGCCCTCCACACCCAACAACCGCCAGCCAGTCTCCTGGTTGGCACTCGCACCCATCAATACCGTGGAATGCTGAGAATTGAGATAGTTCAATTAGACGATAGGGCCCGACGATGTGCTAGGAAATCTAGAAAGACACCAAAAGCAATGCTGGTCGAGATGGGACCAAACTTACCAGTGAATCCAGCGCAGAAGAAAGCCGAAGCGGTATCCAAGAGCATGGACTTGGGCAGATGAACCGCATTTCGGTAATCAATTGTGGCGTACTCGGCGAGCATGCCATCAGTGTCGAATCCCTGGAGCAGGCCTCGACTCCTGGTGCAATTGAGATTGTGTAGTTGACAGCCAACACACTCAACTAGAGCAGAAGGCGTTAGTTGAAACATCAAGAGACCGGTCCCTCTTGCTTACAACAGCATCCCTTTATGTAGAGAAATCCGATTCGGTCTCCTTTAGCGTATCCAGTAACATTCTTACCCCATGCCTCAACATAGCCAGCGCCTTCGTGGCCCATTGTCACAGGCTCTGGAGGTCCCGCGCTGGGAACCGGACGTTCTCCGTGAATGAGCATTAGGTCTGTGTGGCAGAGTGAAGCAGATCGCATTTTGACCAGAATCTCATTGTCACCAGGGGTTGGAATATCGATTATGTCAACAGAAACCTTTTGAGTATCCTAAAACGGGCGGTTTCAGCATTATCCATGTGGTGCTGTTTGCTCGCTGGGAAAGCGACTTACTGGATGGAATCGTGCGGCTTTCATGGTATTCGATGCCATGTCTCCCTGCCTCTTCCGGATTGATGGCCACTGTTTGACAGTGAGATTATGTGCTCAATGTTCTCAGCTCCTTGTTCAGAATGATGTACACCACGTGCAAACCAGCAGGTGGTTCAGAAGAGGCAGCTTTTAGTAGCCATTCGGCCAACAAGCTCAAAGGGGGGAGTTCTGGCGGGCCTGCTTGAGCACTCTTCTCCCTCGCCAGAGTCTCCGGTTACCCTTTGCTTGCCGAATTCTCATCGGCGCCTCGGAAATTTACTTGAGTCCGAGGACCCCGCATTTGACTACGGGTGAAGCCACGGCCAACCAAGTTAGTGACGCCAAAAGGTGACTTAAATGCTATGTGTTCTCATAATGGGGGGCCACAAGCCTGGACTTTGCAACCTATCATTTATCACTCCCACGGGCACCCGGACGCCCTAGTTTGTGTGAACTTACATGCTGATGACCACCAATATCACGGATATCCCACCGAAAGCTGAAAGGTAGTGGGACAGTGGGAATGAGATCGGGGTGTTCGACGAAGGAAGCCGGTAGTAATACAACAAGAACAAGTTGAAGAGCCGGTGGTGCCCACCAAGACTTGGGTGGTTGTTCTGGTAAGCCAAAGATATAAGCTGCCTGTCTCGGTCTGTGCCCGTTCCTGCGGCTGACTAGAGATTGGATCTTGTCACTTAGCTATGGAACATCATTCTGGCCAGTCCCCGTCATGGCTGCAGTGGGCGGCAACATTGCATCTGGGTGGGGCTATGAAGCTGATGCCGCGTGGTTCATCCCGGCGTGGACGCTTTCTATCACAGTGTGCTTCATGACCTAGTACGCAGTAGAACTCTGGTCCGTGCCGTTAAGCTAATCATACGATATCTAGCGGTGCGGATACCGACTCGCTCGGGCGGCGCTGGTTCCTGGTGGGAGGAAATATGTTCTGCCTCATTTGTGAGATCTGTATTAGTACGGCCAGGAACAACACGGCAGTCATTGTCGGAATGGCCTTCTCTAGGTTTGGAGCAGCAAATTACCAAATGGCCGCGTTTGCTCTATCCGAGCTCCTTCTGAACAAATGGCGACATATAGGCGTGGTCCTCGTAGACTTGTCGGCTTTTGTTGCCGTGACAATAGCACCAGTGACCGCGACGTACTGCCTGGTGGCCAACACCTGGGCTTGGAATTTCTAGGCTGGCGCGATCTCACATACTTTGTCATTTATAGAGCTGTATCTTCTCTACTTTCCACCAGCGCATCCGTACAACATGGACCCCAGGCAACCCATTTAAGAGCCGGACTACGTTGGAATGTTCCTTTCTACTGCCGGCTCGATTCCAGTTCTGATGGGACTAGTGTCCACAACGATCTACCCCTCCAGTGACCTGCACGTGGTGGTTTCGCTTGTTGTCGGTTTCGTCATCCTGATCCTCTTCGCCCTGTGGAAGACGTACGGTAAAAGCAAGCATCCTCTCACTCCGGCGTACTTGTTCACGTCTTCGCACGGCCGCGACACCTAACCGTGCCCCTGCATTGCCTTAGGTGTGACAAATATGTTCTACTACTCCAGCCGTATTCTCTGGCCTACGATGATCAACGTCTTCTACACGGATAATGGAGTAAACTGGATCTACGCCAGTGTGTTATCGATGGTGCAGGGCCTCGCAATTACCCCGGGCGGCACATACTGGCGATTTTCAGACGTCGAATCCGGCATGGGCACTGACAGATGGGCGGAACTGTTACAGTCACGGTAGGTTTTGGCGTATTGTTAGCATTGGGAAATCCCTCCAACAAGGGCCTCATGCTCGCATTCACTTTTGTTTCTCATATGGCATATGTCTGGGCTGCCTACCTGGCCATTGCGATCTCTTAGATGGGGGTCGAGCATCGAGACCTAGCTCACAGCAGAGGAATTTGGGGCTTAGCTCGCTTTACTGCCGGAACCAGTGTGCTTATCTGTCACGAGCCCACCGTTGTCCCTAAGTACTCTACGCCCTCCACCCGAATCGGGTGGACGGTATAGAAAGAAAAGGATAAGGCAAAGGATGGTTAAAGCACAAGGCTATCGGTTAACGCTACCTTACTCTTTTCACGTGCCAGAAAGAGGGGAAGCTATAAGAGTTTCCTCTCTCCCGAATCGGCTGAAAGAGAACTCTTCCTTTTTCTCAAGCGTTGAGTCGTTGTCAATAGGACTACGTGAATAGAACAAGGCATTCAGCTACTCTAATTCCTTTGTACCTACTGCGTTGCGTAGGTCCCTAATATTACCCTCGCTCTTCCCGACCAGAATGTTTGTATTTCTGTTTGGTTTAACTAGACTGACTGGTCGTAGGTTGGTACTACTATCTATACGACGATCTTGTCTAGGACAGTGGAGAATAAAGTCGGTGAATACGTCCCAGCCGCTGTCAAAGCCACCAGATTTACGGCATCTCGCATCGATGATCTTCTCTGTGCTCTTGGGAAACCCCATCTCGATCGTACATTCCCTGCACTTGTGGCAGCAGCCGCGACACGCGCATGGCAGTGAGCATACGAGAAAGGAATCTAGTGAGTCTGTCCTGTTACTTCCTCCTGCTATCCTATTGGCGCCTGTCAATTTGCTGCAGACCATTTGGAGATGTTTGCTTATTGCTCTCTCGCGTTTGGAACTTTGGGCATCTTGGCATGCATCCTGTGCAAGGATATCGATGTGACGACGAATAATAAAATTGAAGTACACATGGAGAATACCGAATACCCAGACAGGAACAGTCACGTGCAGATTTGAACAGGATGCTTCCGGACCATGGGTGTCTGGGGGATATCAACAGTGGAAGACGGCACGTCGCCTATTGAAGCCTTGCCGATTATTTAGTACTCGAATGATGATGTCCAAGAACATAGAAGCCAAGCGGAAGAATATTTCGCAAGGCTGATCCGTTCAACGAGATCATGGCTTAGACGTTAGACCTCAACATCCGCCCCTCGGTAACAGGTTAGGTTCACGGAGAGAAGAGAGCAGGAGAGCCGGATACAAGCTTCGGCTAGCCATCAGGTATTGGGATTGGCCCTACAGTGATCTCGGCTGAGCATGCTCCCGGCTGTTTGTTCCCCTGAAACCGATTCCCCAGGTTGGGGAGATGAGTGGAGGTAGCAGTGGGGGCGAGGAGGACAACAACCAATGCCCTTCGATCCGTATGGCTGCAATCGGGTACCCCACTATATGGAACGTCGTGGCCTGCGCCGTAAGACTGCCCCTCGCGGCTATCGCGGGTCGTGTCTACACAGCCGAACCAGTGGTTACAGATGGACTTGATGATCTCTCTTGTCCTCAAGGCGGAATACAAAATATCCTTCATGCCTCTTTGCCATACTTTCGCAATTCAACAGTGACGCTTCAGAAATGGGCTCCATCTCGGATTCCGCGTCCTGGGAGGAGCTTGGGTTTGATCCCAAAGCACTAAAGCAAAAGTATAGGGAAGAGCGTGACAAGCGTTTGCGCCGCGAAGGATTGGCCCAGTACCATACGGTTGAAGAGAGCGCTTTACAACACTATGTGGACGACCCGTGGAGCCAGCCTACGGCACGAGACGTCGTCGATCAAGAGGTAGATTACCTCATCATCGGGGCGGGATATAGTGGAATGATTCTTGCGGTACGACTCTATGAGGCGGGCATCAAGAACGTCAAGATCATCGACAAGTCGGGGGATTTTGGCGGCACCTGGTACTGGAATCGGTATCCTGGAGCGGCGTGCGATATCGAAGCGTACATCTACATGCCGCTGCTCGAGGAAACTGGCTACATTGCCACGGAGAAATACGCTCGCGCTCCTGAACTCTTTGAGCATTCGAGACGAATCGGCAAGATGTATGGTCTGTATGATCGTACTCTCTTCCATACCGAGGCTTTAAGCTTAGAATGGAACGAAGGTACCAGACGGTGGAGCGTGATGACTAACAGGGGTGATCATATCAAGGCCCGCTTCATCACCACTGCGGGCGGCCTCTTACACAAGCCCAAGTTACCGGGTGTCCCAGGCATCACCTCGTACAAGGGACACAGTTTCCACACCAGCCGGTGGGACTACGCATACACCGGTGGCGATTCCCAGGGCAACCTCTACAAGCTCTCAGACAAGCGTGTCGGCGTGATCGGCACCGGGGCTACAGGAGTCCAGGTCATTCCCCATGTTGCTAAGTGGGCGAAGGAGCTCTACGTGTTCCAGCGCACACCTTCGTCCGTCGATTATCGTCTAGATCGACCCACAGACCCAGTTTGGGCCAAAAGTATTGAGGGTAAGAAAGGCTGGCAACAGCATCGAATGGATAATTTTAACAATATCGTTTCTGGCGAACCTGAGGAAAATGATGAGGTCGGCGATGGCTGGACTGATATCCTCGTCAATCTGTCCGTGTCCGGCAGCAAAGTGGCGGAGAGCAAGCGGGCGGCCGACCCCATTAAAGCCGCGCAGGAGCTGGCCAAGGCTATGCAGATGGCCGACTTCCGCAAGATGGAAACAATCCGAGCTAGAGTCGACAGCACGATCAGGGATCCAGCGACCGCCGCGGCCCTAAAGCCGTGGTACAACCAGATGTGTAAACGGCCCACCTTCTCCAATGACTATCTTCCTGTCTTCAACCGGCCAAATGTACACCTGGTCGACACTGAGGGACAGGGGATCGAGCGGATCACAGAGAAAGGCATTGTCGCGAATGGCAAAGAGTTCGAAGTTGATTGCATCATATACGCCTCTGGATTCGAGTATGTTGGCAGTGACTACAGCCAACGGATGCGCATCACTATGCGCGGACGCAATGGCTTGACGCTCCAGGAGCACTGGGAGAATGGCCCCGAGACCTTCCACGGTATCTACACACGAGGCTTCCCAAACCATTTTATCATGAGCATCATGCAAACCGCTGTTGCCCCGAACTTCACACACATGCTTAACGAGCAAGCCAAGCACATTGCCTATGTTGTCGCGGAGGCCACGCGGCGTGGCGCGACACTCGTCGAAACTTCTGAGAAGGCGGAGCAGGATTGGGTTCGCACCATTATCGACCTGGGCCGGTTGCGCGAGGACTTTTTGCGCGAATGTACGCCCAGTTATTACAACGACGAAGGTCAGCTGACAGAGAAGACGTTGAAGACTAGTCGCTACGGCTTGGGCTCGCCGACTTTCATCCGGCTCCTGGAAGCCTGGAGGAGAGAAGGGTCACTTGCCGGCCTGGAGCTGGATGGCGCGTCAGCGAAGCCTATTCCACCTCCGTCGACGCAAGAGTTAGATAGAGGCATCCCGAAAATCAACATTGACGTGACTTTCGGGGCTACCGCGGATGCAATTGTGGGTGTTATATAGAAACCTTCCCCATTTCTCCCCCCTTAGATCTAAATATCTCAATTTCATCATTTAAGAACACTTATGCTCGGCGAGTCACCATTGCGAGACACCATTGCAGGGGTAGAGCCTATGCACCGTCTAAATCTGGTGAGAAAGTATGTAGAAACTGATAGGATGGATGTTACTAAACTCAACCAGGAAACTAAAACGTGTTCGACTGAGAGGATCGTCTCACAAAACATGTGTTGATAGAGAGTCGTGCGTCATCTACTAGGAGTATTTTAAATTGCCTATTGAGGAGTTCCTGGCTTCAACCTGTTGTTACTGTGAAAGCTTTGTGAGGGCTATCGATCTCCTCGCCATGTTCTGACCTATTTTTGACCTTGTGGAGAGACCATGTGGCCATATTTGATCTCTGCGACACTTTTCTGGAATCGATCTAACAGAGTGCCCTCCTGAAAATCGTCCATACCGAGGTCGACATACCCAGAAGGAGCCACAACCGTAGGAACGTTACTGAGGGCGTGGCCTTTGCAATAAGTTAGATGGGACGTGTTTCTCTACAAAGGAGGAGGATGTCGAGTGCAAGCACCAACCGTTAAGTGTCGGATCCGTCGCTATTCTCATGACAGCCTTGACCGCGTCCTCCACTCTAGCGAAGGAGAGTCCTTGAGAAGCAAACAAGCCCTCAAGTACCTTGTTGAACTCAGGTGTGTTTACTTTCGAGTGTGTGTACCTACAATTCCTCATCAGCACAGCATTGTCCAAAATCGAAGACGCGGTTTCCTACCAAGGCGCCAGCATATTGACTCTCATTAGCCCGCGTCTTCGTAGAACCCCCATCAATCCTCGCACAGCATGTTTCGAGAGACCGTAGCCAACCGCACCATAAGTGTCGAGATAACTCATGACACTACCAATCAGGATGAGGCATCGGTCGTACCGCTCTACGAGCTGCTGGCTGAAGTAATGCGCCGCAAGCTTCGCAGTGTAGAAGACCCCATAAATGTTGACATCCATCATTTTGAGGTTGGGTTTCGTTGGAGCAGGGGAATCGAGCCCTATTCACAAAACTTAACTAAGTCCTGGTGCTATGTCTTCGTGCTCATCGGGAAGGGACTGCCAGCAGAACAAGGAAACAGTAACACCTCAAGGGCAGGCACAGGATAAATGGAGAGGCATACCCACGAAAAAGAGGTCTTCTTTGAAGATCCCGGCGTTTGCAATCACAATATCGATTCCTCCTTGAGGTGATCGGGCCTTCGCTATCTCGAACAATGCCACCTGATCTTCCCAGGACGAAGCATCGCATTTCACGAACAGGACGCTGAGTCGAAAGTCAATACTGACTCTGCTGCACACTAGTTGTCTAGACCATGTACCTACTTGGACTGAACGTAAGGCGTCTCTGGCGGGAGCAGGTCGCCGTTGACAACAAAAGCTCTGTCAACCAAGTCAATCTAACGCTCCGTCCTTAACAATGACTGCATTAAGGGACAAGATATGACACTAACCCATTGTCTGCGAAAGCATTCACGTACGCTTCGCCAAGTCCATTGCTACCTACTCATATTACTCATCGATTAGCATGAATGCCTTTCAAAAAGAAGCTTCCGTCTAAGAAAAGTTCATCATGAGCCTTACCCCCGGTGATAATAACTGTCTTCCCTTTCACCTTGGTGTAATCTACAGCTGCTGGACACTCTACGGGCCCCGTATTATCATAAACGAAATGCGGCATTGTGAAATGCCAGAAACCGGTGAACGATATCCTCTGATATATTCGGATGCACAGACCAAACTTCTTTCTTAAGGACAGGTTAACTTGGACTTGGGTAAGCGGTCAGTAGAGTTGCCTCTTCTTCCAACCCAGTGTGCCTATAACAACCACCCCCCTCACGGCAACATGCGTCCCGAAATTGTTTCAGGCAGCGGAGACGGACCTGGTGTATCCCGGGACAGTTGCCGAGTCATGCGCAACTCAGCGACTCAAGAGTAAGAGCGATAAGAGTAAGGCACGAGGAGAGTAGCCGGCCACAACCCAAACCCGAGGATATCATCTATCTATCGGTAGCCACAAAATAGTACTCGAGGACGACGAGAGACTCGATCAGAGCTACCGGCTAACTAGACCCTGGCTGCTTATATCTCGCTTCTTGCATGCCGACAAACGAGCCAACCACACATTGAACTTACTGCTCAGCAGCTCGGCTCCTCCGCTTTTCTCTTCCCCGGGCTTATCCTCGTGCTGAGGGGGGCCCCATGGGGCAGTTAGGCTGGCTAGTTTCCAGTATTGAGCCGTTTCCCGAGCATACTCCCAAAGATGCCGTACCAATTGCACCAACATTCCTCATTTCGAGGCCTCTCCAAGGCAAATTCTGTGCTTTGACTCGATCGTTTACAGGAGCAGGCTGTTTAGTCTTATGTTCAAGATAATCAGTGTTGCCGACACTTTATAACCAGGTGCTCAGCATCTCGTGGGAGTTTCATCCACAACATTGTCCTAGCTGTGATATAGACTGTTTCATAACTTACGCAAAGAGCCTCCCCAACACCATGGGTGGTGCAAACACTTACAACTTCTTGGTGGCGGCTGCGGTCACCGTTGGTGCATTCACCTATGGATTCAACAACTCGGTTATCGCTCCAGTTTATGGTAGGACATGAGGATTTGCCCTCTCTGCAACGGCGAATATTGACATTATGGCCAGGAATGGCAGGCTTCTTCAGCTACTTTGAACTTTCCCCTGAAGCCGGCAACCAGCAAACAGCCAGCGTTATTGGAGGTGTGTACTCAAAGTTGGGGTCTATCTTTTCCACTGACGCTAAGACAATGTCTCCAGCTGCCAATGGCCTCTTCTTCGCTGGAGGCATGCTCGGATGCTTCACGATTGCATGGAAAGGGGATGTTCTTGGACGAGTTCGCAATCTACAAATCGTGGCTGCTATATGCCTAGTGGCCGCCATCATCCAAGGCGCCTCGGTCCATATTGCCATGTACATAGTCGGAAGGTTTCTCAGCGGCTATGGGTAACTTTCACGGAGCATACCGCATTCGCAAAAGTCCAACACTGATGTTTTCAGGTCGGGCGGTATGATTGCCTTGATTCCCATCTATCTGTCAGAGATCTCACCACCGCACATGCGTGGCCGTATGGTCGGCCTCGCTGCCGTAGGACAAGTCCTTGGCTACGTAGGACGAACTCCCGCCTCCCAATTATCTGTGAATGCTGCTGATAGAAGTCTAGTGCACCGCCGGTTGGGCAGGATACGGATGCTATTTCGGAAACACCAACATGTCCTGGCGCTTGCTGACATGTCTCCAAGGCAAGTCTGAAATAGAAAGTGGAGGGAGAACAACAGATGCAGTCGCTGACGGCGACGTGAGCAGTCATCTCGCCGACTTTCATTCTTACTGTTTCGCCCTGGCTGCCCGAGTCCCCTAGGTGGCTGATTCTGTGCGACCACCACGAACGGGCCTTCGCTACTCTGCAGAAATTGCATCACAAGACTCAAGACACGCAAGATATCTTAGCCCGGGAAGAGTATCTACAAATCAAGAAACAGGTCGATCTGGACAGTTCAAAGCCGCGGACTTTGCTCGCAATACTGAAAATCCCATCGTATCGGAGACGATTATTCACGGCGATGCTGCTGGAGTAGGTTGTCCACTTCATCTTGTGACGATTTCGCCAGCTGATAGGGTCCAATCGCAGGTTCCTTTTCCAAAGCACTGGTGTGCTTGTGGTCAACAACTACCAGGTAAGCATTGTTCCGTCTATGCTTCCCGAGAATGCTCTTGTACTCACCACGCCGTTATCAGGTGTTACTCTACAACAACTTAGGCCTTACGGGGTCTCTCCCTCTCATGCTCTATGCTGTTTATTGTTCATGGGCGGGGATCGTGAACTACTTGTCTACCTTCTTCATTGACCGATTCGGGCGCGTTAAGATGATGATCTACGGAACGGTAAGCATAATTTGTGCTCACTCCCTTTAATTACTCGGCTTGCTCGCTGGTCTCGATGGCATTCCAGTAGTACTCTGCGCTGTCTCTGCTCAAGAGGCCATCATGTTCGATCTAGACTAATTTAATCTCATCTCCAGATCGGCTCAATCATTAACGTTGCCCTTCTGATGACGATGATCGCTGTATACGGTGGCACGTCTAACAAAATCGGCAACGGCTTCGGTGTCTTCTTCCTGTTCTTCTTCGTGACTTGCTACGGTTTCGGTATCGACCCTACCGTTTACGTGTACTTGTCAGAGCTGTTCCCCACTCACATTCGCGCGCAAGGTTTTGCAATGGGCATCGCCAGCTTCCTTGGATCGGCCTTGGTGTACAATGAAGTTGCAGGCACCGCCTTCGCGACCATCGGCTGGAAATACTATCTCGTCTTTGTCTCTGTGTCGGCTGCCGGTCTCCCCTTCTTGATCTTCTGCTGTCCTGAGACCAAAGGCCTCACTCTCGAGGAGGTGGGCCAATTGTTTGGCGACGAAGTCGGTTTGGATCTAAGCCACATGACAGCCGAGCAAAGAGAGGAACTTGACCGAAAGTTATTGTCCGAGGCTGGAAAGGTCCCGATCGCGAACGAAGGGACAGTTGAACAAGTGGTATCAAAGGACGGGACCAGCATAGTTTCGCATTTCGGGAAAGTCGCCGAGTAGACGCCTGATTCGTCTGTGACACCACTCCCAGGAGCTCGGCTGGCCGGGATGGAATCACAGGTGATCGATAGGCCGCATATGGTCATGCAAGAAGGTCGAAGTATCTCTTCCCACATTAACTTCGTCATCCTCAATAGGATAAGACACCACTTGCATTTTATGGATGCAATAGTGGAGGCGCCAAGGAAACATTGTGCTGGTTCTGCAAGAATTGTCATGTCCCCCCGAAATGGACCGAGAGCAAAGTAGAAACAGGTTCTCACTTCTGCAGTCTCTTGGTTCCTGCATAAAATGTTACATCCGAGTGGTCAGAGTCTCTTGAACGTTATGATATGCTGTGAAGCTTTTGCAATCAAGACAAACGACCTCGTGCATATCTACAATGTACGTTACCGAATCAAATGGAACAACAATAACGCTGCGTCTATGCTGTGGAAACTCTTCCGCGGCCAAAGGTTAGCCTTCGGCTGCCTGGACGTAGGAACATCACTACAGCCGATATGTTCGGTGCGGACACTTCGGTCAAAAATTTCTCCAATTGCCGAGATATAAAGTATGCAGGATCTTGGGCAGTCCTTAGGATTTGTCTCCCCATACCAGTAAAGGCCCTGGAAATACCTTTGATCCCCGACTTTATTTTGAAGTTGGTTTTGCATATTTTAGAGAACGAAAACCATGGTACTCTCCATTCCTGATTTTGATAGTCTGCCTGCAGTTCAGGGGATGCCTGCCGGATGCGCGAGGGGACTCTTCGACAAAGACGGGCAAAAGGGCGTGTTTGAGTGTCTAAACAAAATCACGCCCGAAATTGTGCTTGCAGCATCGTCAAAGGTCAAGGAAGGCGTCAGCATGTCTTTAAAGTGGGTACACCTTGTCTTCTATCTGGCTTGTTGAAATGATCAACTTAAGCCCTGGTTAAGCAGGCGTTTGGGAGCTATGAAAGCTCCCACTGCTCAACGTAGGGAGCCCAAACACCGTGTCATATCCTTCATGGGCAGGCCGGAGAAATTCCGCGGTTTGATGACGAGGTATTCTTTGCATGTCCCCGCCAGGTGTTGTGAACGGGAGACGTTGATCTGAGGTCTCTACAGATTGAGTTCAATACGAAATGCAGCAGCTAGTGGCACAGCTTATGTGGAGTGTACGCGGGTTCCTTGCTTCGAGCATAGGCTGAATCTCCCGTTAAGGCCATTGCCATCACCAAGAATCGGCATCGGGATACAATGGGTGCAAGGCGTCTACCGAGGAGCTCATGCAGGACTGGGATGCCGAAGACAATGCGCAGGCGTTGCCAACTCTTAATCGTACGACCCAGGCTTCAAACACCTATATAGACCCTGCTCTTTATCTGACGACTTTTACTGCCTCCTAGATTGGCACGAAAGAGGAGGCTTGATCGGCCGGGGTGTCCTCATTGATTTTAACGCGTATGCGGATGCTAAAGGTATCGCATTTGACCCGTATAGTCGACACAAGATCACCATTACCGGGATCGAAGAGGTTGCAAGGTCGCAAGCTGTCACCTTTAAGCAGGGGGACATTTTCATTCTACACACTGGTTATACGGAAGAGCTCGAGAGTTCCTCTGCGGAGCGGCAGGAGGACCTGAGCAGTCATCAAACATGGGCCGGCATGGAATCAATCAAGGAAGCAGCAAGATGGTTCTGGGACAAAGGGTTCGCTGCGGTTGCCAGCGACAATATCGGATTCGAGGCGGAAGTTGCAGATGGTAATCCACCTTGTGAGCCTCTCCCCCGTCTCTCTTCTCCCCGAATTTCCGATAGCCTGTTTAACCATTTAAAGTCCTTTACCCGTATTTTCTGAGCCTGTTTGGCATGTGTATTGGTGAACTGTGGGATTTGAAGGCCCTGTCCAAGCACTGTGCTAGGACGAAGCGGTATAGTTTCCTCCTTGCCTCCATTCCCCTCAATGTCCCTGGAGCAGTGGGCTTCCCTCCCAACGTGTTGGCAATTTTTTAAGGCGTGCACTGGGAAAGAAGTCCACTCATGGTACACGCGTATTCATGAATAAACAAAACAAGAGGCGTAGAAGTCAAGCACCAGCTTCTGTCATTGCATGGAGAGCTGTTCGTTGCTGTGCTTGCAGAGGTGTTACACACTAGTAACCGAGCTCACAGTCGCTGGTCGATCGAACATTGTTACGTGGTGTATTTAGACCACTTCAATACAACATTGCTTGACTTCAAGCTTAGAGCGATTTAAAAATAAGGCCCGAACAGGGGCTCTTAAGAAAAATTCAGACTGCTGACATGTCTGGATGTGCACGGCTGTCCATGGATGGATAGAGGACATATTAGCTAGCTCATGATTGTTCAACGACGCCCTTCAGTATCTCCTGAATGGTGTCGATAGCACTATCTTTGTTGCTGATCAAATTCATGTGCGGCGGACCAGGATTGTTGTAGAGAGGAATGCTCCGCCAACTCTCCTCGGATACTTCTGTCACCTCCTGTAGTGTGCCAGCCGGATATCGGTTATTTGCGTTCTCGGCCAAAGCAACCAGGGCGCGAGCGACCACACTGGGATCAAGCATCTTGTCCTTCTTTGGATCGAGCCAGCCCGAGACGTTCGGATCTTCTAACAAAAGAGGAGTTTTAATGGAACTAAACAAGGGTAAGTTTTGGTTACGTTAGCCTTTCGCTTACAGCACGCAATTGACGATTGTAGGAAACGTCCGAGTATATTCGCTATTGCCTTATTATAACGGACAACGTATAAGTATACGTACCCTGGGGCAACTCCGAGAACTCGGATCCCGTAAAGCCCTTCAAGAGGACCCATACCCATGACAAAACTATCGATGCCATGCTTTGATGTCTGATATAGGGGAGTAATGACACTGACGGTCTCTGCCGCCACACTCGCAATATGGAGGATGGTTCCGACCTTTTTCGCTCGTAGCATTTCCCGGATGGCGATCCGGGTCATCTTGATTGGATGAATTAAGTTGATGTCGATTATCTTGTAGTGAGACGGCGAGTCGACATCCCCCCAGAATTCTAACCTTGGCTGCCGATGCCCTAGAAGATTAGCAACTAGTCTTTCTTTCCAGCCATAAGTAGGTAGTAAAAAAAAATTAAGACTAAGACCATCGTACGAACAGGTTCATAAATCCCTGCTCCAGGACACACTAGGTCAGGCACGTTTCCAAAATTCTCCTTCGCAACGTCGAAGGCTTTTTGTAACTGGGACCAGTCCGTGACATCGGTTGATTGAAAGACGACCTTCGGCCCACCATTCTGCTCGGCCGGGTCAATGAACGCCTGCGCTTCAGGTCGAAGGCCAATGTCTGCAATGAGGACGCTGCACCCTTTCTCAAACAAGTTCTTCGCAAATGCCAAGTTGATACCTGAATGAGTCAGTCTCCCTCACTGTATTCACTGCTTTCTCTTTTACCAGAACCTGCACCTGTCACAATGGCCGAGGCGCTCTTCAGATTAAGTCCAGGCATGTCGAAGACAATAACACGAGAACCTTTTCACAATGTATAGGGGGTCGATCGCAGCAACAAGCTGCAAGAAGGTTCTTACGTAGAGAGTCGGGTGTCAGTTCAATCTCGTTGGTCCGTCTTTTTAAACAAGCCAGCCTCGTTTCTCCGCAGGGGGGCCGATGAACAAGCCGATTGGGTGGATTTGGATCCCAGCAATGTTTGTATGTCTTTTCCCAACACACTACGGCAGTCCATCGCCAAGAACTTGGGTCGTGTACCGAAGGCTGCAGGCCGAGTGAAGCGCGTTCAAGACGGCGAGTTGCAAGCAAGATACCTTCTGACTTGGACATCGTCAAGACGAACTCGAGTGAAATTGAACACGACTCTGATGAAATGTCAAGGTACCTATCATCTAGCCGACAGATTGATGCCAAGAACAACGAATATCGCTCGGGGCATTGATTGCTCCGCTCTGAAGGCCGCAAAATCCAATGTGCGTTTAATCCCAAGCTCCCTCAAGAAGATGACCAAAAACACGATCTGATGGAGGGCGGCAAGGAGCATATAGTAGATGCCAGTAAGAACACCCCAAAACACCCTTCTCTAATACCCATTTGTCACGTGGATCTCCCACACACTAGCCTAGTCTAGGACTAGCCTGGAGGCGCCTTGGCACCTCTCTTTTTTTTCCCTTTAGCTAGTCGAGTCCAAGTCTTCCTGACTCTCTTATTTTACTCTCCGACAGACACTTTCTTACGAAGGCTTGTTGCCCCAATTCTGGTTATCACGACCACCTCCGGTTTGCTAGCCCGAGTTCATATTATATCCATCTTTGCGGGGAATCTTGGTCCCAGGCGGCTAATATACGTTTTGTGGTGGTTTGTGCTACCGGCTTTGATGCCTCACACTGCCCTGCGTATCCTGTCATCGTGCATCTGCTTAATTGACCAGTGTCCCGTACGTCGACCGCCAAATTGGCTAGGAAGATCCAATGGGCTTCGCATCTACTTGACGGCACCGACCTTACTGCACGGAACATTGCAGTCTCCTTCATCGCCGCTGTTTTTGTAGCATTACCTCTAGTTGGTGTTGGCAGCTTAGCGAGAATTGGACGAATGCCAGCAGGCCTGCCTCCATGGTCGTCTATTGTTCCCATTTGGGGAAGTCTGCATCTTTGTCAAGCACGAGTTTGACATACATCGCTTGGGTGACATTAAAATCGAATCCACATTCCATTCGAAGACGCTCATCTATAATTTCAAATATCTCGTCCTAAGCTACTCTCGCCAAAAACCTGCAAGATAAAAGAAGCAGTGTATGCTCGTCGCGCGGCATGTATATCTGGCTCGGATCCTGCAGACGTCGGTCTCCTGGTTCTCCTTGTGGTCAACTCCCTGATCAACCTACTTAGGTCGGAATCAATCAAGCGTCGTTGAGCCTATGGCAACCAACAGCCTCAACAATCATGTGGCAGTTATCTGAAACAAAGACGTTGAAAGTGTGATTGACTGCAGTTTGACCTCGATTCTATCAGAGCCACGAAAGATTTCCAGATCTCTCTCAGCCTATAGAGGTGCGTTAGGAGCCGATTCCTACGCCCTTTGAGAAGATCGCGTGCCATATTTCTCTTCAAATTCTAACAGTTGCACTGTATCTACTCTTTGCAAAGGCGCAGTTTCAACTCCGACGCAAGATCTCACACCGCACTCGGGCGCCTGTGGCCGTGCGCCCACACCTCCTCGGCGATCTGGGTTTGTAGCTCCCGTTCCTCACTGCCGAGTTTGTCACCGAAGACAGCTGCAATCTGTTCCAAACTCTTGCCTGCCGTCTCTGGAACGAAGAAGAATGAGAATATCGACGCCGCAAAACAGAAGCAGCCGAAGAAAAGGTAGGTGCCCCAACCAAGTTTGAGCTGCATCTCGGGGACAATGACGCCTATGATGAAGTTCGCAAGCCAGACCATGGCCGTCGCTGCACCGACATCCTTTGCGCGCTTGGAATTTGAGAAAACCTCTGCAGGTAGAGTCCATGCCAACGGGCCATAAGAGCAAGCATATGCAAGGACATAGATGTCTAAAGAGTCAGCAGAAGGCAAGTCACGCAGGAGAAAAACTCACAGATGAGGGCGACGCCGAACCAACCCATGCCCGGGTTACTTTCCCACCTATCGTTGTACTTGCTAACGATACCGGCCATGATCATGTGCGGGATGCCCATGGCGATGCCACCGAAGATAGCGAGCTTGCGGCGGCCCATCTTGTCCAGGAACAGGAAAGTCGGGATGCCGGCAACGAACTGGCAGATATTGACCATACCGCTGAGAATGAGGGACATTTCGTAACTCTGGCCAAGAGCGGCAAAGAAGATGGGTGCATAGTATACGAATGCGTTAATGCCTATACTAGAGTCAGCAGTGTCGTCGAGGGCCGGGGCAGTGCTGACCTGAGAATTGCTGAAAGAACGGAATTGCAAGCGCAACCACCGTGCGTTGCAGGTATTTCGGCTTGAAGAGATCACCCCATTGTTTGAGCTCAAGGATGACAATGTTGGTGTTGGCACCGTGCTCACGAGCTACCACACGCTCCTGAAATTCGACTTCAGTGAGAATGCCCTTCCACTCCTGCTGGACGCGGCCATCTGTTCCGGGTAGACGTCGAAGTTTCTGGAGCGATTGCAAACTATCCTCATAGCGGTGACGCATGGCCAGCCATCTGGGAGAGAATGGGAAGAACTGTATGCCGATGCCAACCATCAGGGCAGGAATCATCTGTAAAACGAATGGTAGCCTGAAAGACCAGTCGCCTGCAATTTGTCGAGTGCCGTACGTGATCCAATAAGCGATGATGGCGCCGATGACAATGGAGATGGCCTCGAGCACAAGTAGAGAGCCTCTCAAATTGGGGGGTGCAATCTCAGAGATGTATAATGGAGCTCCCATGGCGAGAGTCCCCACGCCAACACCGCCAATGGTGCGTCCAGCGACGAGGGTACCATAGTTGTGTGCAGCGGTCTGAATGATGGCACCGACGCAAAAGAATGCTGTCGCCACGGCGAGACCCCACTTTCGGGAGAAGCGGTCGGCGAGCATAGGGAAGAGTAGACAGCCGACAAAGGCGCCGAACTCCAACATGCCAGTCATGAAGCCCGTGTTGAAGCCATAGTGAGCGTGACCGGGGGCTATCTCGGGGAAGTGGTCATGAAATTGAGGCATTGTTAGAATAAGGGAGATGACACCCTGATCGTATCCGAAGGAGAAGCCGCCGAAGGAGGCCAGGAGGGCGGCACCGAAGACATAGGGCGACCGCACGATGCCTCTGATCCCTTTGTTGTCATAGCTGATCTCAGAGACTACCTGGCCATGGTAGAACTGGGTCTCATGATGTTCGATACTGTCGTCTCGTTGCGTAAGGGTAGCTGCGCTTTTCTCGACGTCTGCCATGACCAATGACGATGTTGAACGTGAAACACTTCAGGATGTCGGAATGGTATAGTTATCTGTATGCTGATGGCTGGTCCTCAGAGATCCATGAAGAGAGCGAGCCTTGATGTTTGATCGGAGGGAGGCGATACTTATGCATAAGGGAGATTTGATGTCCCATGGGGTTGTGCGGACCCGCCCCGAGCTCGTGTGGAGTTGACTGGAGGCCAATCATGCCTGCCCGGACAGAATAAACAGCCGTCTATCGGACTTAGATCGAATGGAACACCTGGGTCCCTTGAACGATGTTTTGTAGAAAGTGGATCTCTGGACTGCACAAAAGTTCACAACCGGAACGGGCTAAACGTGGAATCGGAGATAACAATGAGGACAATGGCCAGGGAATTTCGAAAACCTCGACGACTATTGGTGTCTGGACCAGCAACAAGACTGTCTGCGACCAAGACGAATCAAAGAGGTGGTGGGATGTAGCCTTCGCTGCAGAGCAAACACTGATACAGGCAATATATTAGCCCTCGAGGTTGAGGAAATGTTGCTATCCCATGTTCATGTAGTTCCATATGTTTGGATCGTTCCGTTTGGTGTGATGAATGCTTCCGAATATCGGCGGTTACAAGTCATTACCGTAAGCAGTTGCTCTACGGGCCCCCGGATTGCTACGCTTGCGACCGAGTCTAGTCACTGGCAGTGCGCTCAAGGTATAAGTCAAGCCGTGTGAAGCTATTGAGGTTTTCTATGCACGTCAACGAGGACAAAGAGCAGACATCATGTTCAGCTGGGGCCTGGTTCATTAATCTCAGCCGAACAGGTATAACCCACTCCTTGCACTGTGAATGAAGTCGATAGTCGGAAAAAGGGGATAATGCGGCGTAGAGCATTCATTCACTCGGCGTTATAGTAGTGCAAATCCTCACAAGATTGAATGGTTGATCAAGAAAAATGTGCCTCGCCATCTCTGCCGGGACTGCTCGACTTCTATATCCAGATACCATGCTTAATGCCGCTTTCCAAGCCCTCATTCAACCCAGCCACAAGTGTCCACGAGTCGCCTTTCTCCCCGCTGATCTCGTATATCTCGACTCCGCCACCCTCTTGCCCTAATACTACAATGTACTTGCCATCAGCGCTGAACCGCATGCCGCGGATGACATCGACATTCGTCCACACGTGTTTGATTGTTTCCACCTTTTTGCCGTCATTTGAGAGTAAGATGATGGCGACAGCATCCCCCGGCGGCAGCTCCCCAGGAACGTTTTCGAGATAAGGCACGCGTTGTGCAATGTGCCTTTCCCACCTGTTACTGGCATACAACACGTTGGGAATGCTGGGGTGAAGGCAAATCTCGGCGGAATCCATCGTGAACTGATGGTCGGGGTGAACAGTTGGAGGAATGATGTTGGGTGCAAAGCCATCGATAGGGGGGATTGCTTCTGCAGGGGAAGTTGACAAGTCAAATGCGGCAACGGTATGCGAGAGCTCTCCGAGGACGTACATGATGGTTTCTGAGCCTGGTTAGTTGGGAAGTAGGATGAAGATAGAGACACATGCCATCAGGAGTCAATACGGCATGCCGAGGACCTGTCCCGGGAGGACATTGAAGCCAACCACAAATTTCAAGATTCATCCCGTCGCGACGAAGTATCCAGACGCGGTCTGCTCCGAGGTCTGGAGCGTACAGAAGACCTTGCTTATCCTCGAGTACTTGATGTACATGGCATTGTCGCTGTCGACCTTTGTTTGGACCGTGCCCGACCGCTTCGTAGGGGAATTTTGGCATGATCTCCGTTCGGGGAACATCTGCAAGTGCAGGTCCGTCCGTGTCTGTAATGGAAATAGGATAGAGGGCAACAGAGCTTCCTAGATACTATACATGGTAAGCGTAAGACGCGAAACCTCTATACATACCCACAGTGCTCAGTGCCAGCGCAGAATTGTCGCGGAGCGTGATGACTACGCCATCAACATTAATAACAGACCCGGATACTTGAGCAGTACACTCTCACAGTGAGCAGGTGCCCCTAGAGTTGGCTGCTGGCTTGTAATTTTGGTCCTCTTTTGCGCGTGGTCGATGTCGAAGGTGTATAGCAGGCCGGACTCGGTGCCCTCGGACAGTCCTATCAGATGGTCAATGCTTCCTTTGCGAGATGAGAACTCAACCCAGGAAGCATTGAAGGGCGATGAATAATTGTCGAGAACCCTCAATTCCTTTTTGCTGAGATCAAGAGCGAGCCTGGTGAAGTGGGCACGCTCGCCAGAGATCAAAAGTGTGTGTTCCATAGCGTCTTAAGCTCACTTAGGAGCAGGCTATTCTATGGGAGCTTGGTCGAGACAATAGCGTACATGTTTATGCAAGCTCGCCAAGTTTCTTTGATCGTTGGCAGGAGTGTGCAAAGCACAGGGCCTTCCGAATTGATGTTGATATTGGAAGCAATCTAGCTTGCATTGACGACGTCAAGGCTAGTTAGTGTTTACCGATACCAAAGCTCCAAACGCCTTGCACGCGATGAATGTTTGCCTGCCTAAACGAATCTATCTCCGGGATCCGCTCGAAAATGGAGCGTTTGACTCCTGGTTCCCGTGCTGCACAGTTGATGCGACCGGTGATCGGATTCAATTGTAAATCCCGGAGATAATCAAGCGGCCACTGACCGGCGACGGAGAATCCGACCGGCGTTTCTTTGTCATACTACTGTCTTTGACCGACCGACATATGCCCCGATAGAATGCTCAGAATGCTCTATGCTTTGCCATGTCCAGAAAATTTGTTGCTTCCTCTGACGTTACCTGGCAGCCGCAGTGAATCGTGTTCCTGAGGGCATTACCGGAATCTATTTTCTGTGTGTCCAACTATCCTGTCTCGAAAAAATCTCAAGGGTACCGACACTCCTGAAGCATAATGGCTCCGCCTACTCATTTCACGCTCAACACGGGAGCCCAGATTCCTGCTGTCGGCCTCGGTTGGTGTTCATGCTGTCGTCGCCAGTGTAGCCGCTGACATTGCGTAAAGGCACCTGGAAATCTGAACCTGGAGCCGTTTCAAGGGCCGTAGCCTTTGCTCTTAAGGATGGATATCGTCACATTGATACGGCACTGTGAGCCTGGCCACTTTTCCGATTGTGGCATGTCCTTTCTCGCTAATAAGATGCAGAATCTATGGTGGGTTAACGCGCGTGGGTCGATAACGGGTCTTCTGACAATCCCAGGCAATGAGAATGAAGTTGGTCAGGGCATCAGAGATAGCGGCGTCCCACGTGAAGAGATTTTCATCACCAGCAAGCTTTGGAACACTCACCACCCTAATGTCAAAGACGGGCTGCAAAAGACCCTCGACGCTCTAGGCGTGGAATACCTTGATCTCTACGTAAGGCGCAGTGGTCCAGAACTATGCAAGGCCGATACTGATAAACACCATCAGCTTATCCACTGGCCTGTTAGGTTGATCCCTGTGAGTGCCTACTAGCCCATCTCTCGAGATCCGCCCAACTGATTCATCCACAGAACGAGACAAGCGAGCTCCTTCCCGTGAACCCGGACGGCACTCGGTCGGTGGACCGATCGTGGGACCAGAATGAGACCTGGCGCCAGATGGAAGAGGTCTACAGGTCAGGCAAGGTCAAGGCGATCGGCGTTGCCAATTGGTCAATCCCCTATCTGGAGGAGCTTCGCAAGAAGTGGGCAGTAGTGCCCGCCGTGAATCAAGTCGAGCTGCACCCTTTTCTCCCTCAGCACGAACTCAAAGAGTACTGTGATAAGTTCGGCATTCTTCTCGAAGCATATTCGCCGCTTGGTTCCACTGGTTAGTTGGAGCAAAGGTATCTCGATTCGAAGTGAGCTCAAATTTGCTAGGTGCGCCGATCATGCTGGATCCCGAGATCCAGAAATGTGCCGAGAAAAACGGCGTCTCGGCTGCCACGATCCTCATCAGCTACCACATCAACAAGGGCGTTGTTGTGCTTCCCAAATCTGTGACGGAAAAGCGCATTTCTAGTAACAAAGAGGTCATTACGCTCTCCAAAGAAGATTTGGCTATGCTTGACGGTCTGGCTGCCAAAGGCAAGGCCAGGCGCTTAAACACACCTCTGTGGGGCTTCGATCTTGGTTTCGCAGACTGGTACGGCCCTGTTGAGCCGCAGTGAGCAGTGTCGTGTTGAACGGGCTCGGACCGATATTTGTGTAATTGTTTTACACTGGGATTGAGCCTCTACATAATCACAGCATATGCAGTAAAAGCTTTCAATACCAGGGTCGAAAGGCTTCACAGCGACGACGACCGTACTGACTGTATATATATGTATATGTTCGTGGCGTGGACGATTACGAACGGGTGCAAGAATGCGCATAAATCCACTGAGATCGCGTAGCTCCAGGAACACCAGCTTTGCTGACCAGGATGATCCTTTTGGTGTCACTTGGGCGCATGGAGGTCGATGCTAGATTTGGCTTCGGTCTGCCATGCCACCAACTGAATACGATCTGGTTGCCTGGGTAGAAATCAATCCGAACTACCCACTATGAAATCACTGAAACGAAGCAACTGTCCTACGATTTTATTCTCTTTGCCTTCGTCTCAATATCAGAAGAGATCAGCAAAAGTTGTTTCACTAGTTGGGAGTACGAATGATTTGCGAGGAGTGAGGTCCGCGCAGGGTCTATTGCTCCAACTGATGTTATTCTTGAGCGGTACACATTGAGGTTAAACATTTAATATGGTATACAGTGCCACGGCTGTGTCGGAGTCAACAGTAGGTTGGTAACTGTTGGGGAGTGAACTTTGTCAAATGATACGATCAGACCAGACCTCCCTGCCAGTATTAGAGTCTATTGAATTCTTGTTCGTTATACATAAACATCAAATGAATATCTACAATGTTTATGTCTTGTAAGGAGCCTGTGCGATACCCTCCCCCAAAGCTTTTAAACGCATAGCGAGTAGTTTGGAATGGAAGCGAGTGTACGGAAGGTAGCCGACCATGATCCAAAGGTTGGGTACCCCAGTCTCTCGATAAGCCGTCTTGAACTCGCCCTCCTCGTCGATGCCCCAAATGGGGCCACACTGATCGGCAATTTTGTCGCCAAGGGTCGCACGGATAGAGTCAATGGCATTGGAGAAGCCGGTGGCGAAAACGACCAGGTCGAACTTGCGCTCCCGGCCGTCGTTGAGGATCGCCTTGTCCTCTGTGAACCTCTCAATGTAGCCCTGCTCTACCTTTATCTTGCCATTGATGATGTGCTCGCAAGCACCAGCATCGAAGTAGAAGCCACCGTTGCGGGTCTGTCCCAGGGTAGCACCACCCGTGCCACGCTGGCCACGCCATGTCCGAAGACCGCGAGCATTGAGCCCCTCAAGCAGGGGCCTATCGAGGTCTTCAAGGACTTTGGCGTTACGTCTAGCAAGCTCCTCGGCGGGGCCAACAGGGGTGGCAAAGAAGAGGCGGTCCTGTTCCTCGATATCAGGGCGGTTGCCATCGGCATCGGGAGCATAGTTGCCAATGATTCGAGGAACGGAGTGTGTGAGCGACATAATGTAGGTCGGGGACCGCTGGAGAAGGGTGACATCGATGCCGCGGCGCGAGCAGTCGAAAGCCGTGTCGAAGGCAGAGGACGAGGTGCCGACTACACAGACCTTCTTGCCGACAAAGTTACGAGAGCTGTCGTGCGAAGTCGAGTGGCGTATGACGCCCTTGAAATCAGTCATGCCCGGAACCACGGGCATCATAGGGACGCCGCACAGTGAGGTGGCCATCACAAGCTGCTTGGGATGCAGTGCTCGGGTCTCCTTCCCCTCTTTGTTGATCACTACGGTCCAGCTACCTCGATCGTCTTGCTCAGCCTTGACGACCGAGGACTTGGTCCAGACGTTGAGCTCGAGAGCCGATGCATACCACTCCATGAAGATACCCTGTTTCTGAGCGGGGGTATACGTAGGCCAGTGCTTGGGGTAGGGGAAGTAAGGCAAGTCATCTGCCCAATGCGGGAAGTGAAGCGACAGGTACTCGTAGCGCTTCTTCCAAACATCACCGATCTCCTCACTTCGCTCGATGATGAGGTGGTCCATACCCAGTGCCTTGCATCGGGCAGCCAGGGCGAGGCCGCTACTGAACGTCAGTATCTGCAAGGAAGGCTGGGAGACGAGTTACTCACTTCTGGCCACCACCGATGATCAGGACTTCAGGGTTGGCGGCGTCGACGTCCTTGGTCCTCTGCTTCTCCCAGCTGATTGGGCCGGTCATATGCCCGTCAGCGGGGGGTACTTCGGGAAATTGCTTAAGTTTCTCGGCCACGGTGTGCATGGTGTAGATCTTCCAGCCCTGGTTGCTGAGGACCAGGTTGATCACCGCCGAGCCAACAACGAGCTCCGTCTCGAAGGACATGACGCATTGCAATTGGGCAAAGTCGGCGTAGGGACGGGCAACATTTGGGGCCGGTGTCAAGAACTTGAAGTTCGTGGCCTTGGTTGTCGGGAAAAGATCGGTGGCAGCCTTTAGAATTGCTGGTTGGAAGTTGAAGGTGCGGTAGTCCCACGTGAAAGAGAGCTTGTCGCGCCAAACACCTGTATGAAGGTTAGCTATATCCGACGACGGCACACGGGGAGGAAACCGACCAAACTCAAGGAACATATCAGCAAATGCCTGGGCATCGCCTTTACCCATAACCTCGGAGAGGCGCTTCAAAATGGCCTCGGCCTCCTTTTGGGCATCGCAGTCGGCAGGGATCTCGATTCCGAGGGCGTCGGAAGTGGGAAGGGCGTGGTTATACTTGAAGTCGTACATGAAGTTGTCGGCCACAGGGGGGTTGGCAGTAGCCTCCAGCTCGACATGGCTGACGTGTCCTTTACTCTTGATATCGTGAATGTCGACCTTGTTGTCGATGGCGGGCTCGTGGGTGGTGATGAGAGCCATGTCTGCGAGTCTAAAGATGTGGAAAGATCTCTCCTCTCCATCTCTCGAAACGCAGTTGCGCTCATTTTGATGGCTACGATGCGGCTCTTTACGTCCGACATGTCTCTGTGATGCCACAGGGCAAGCCCTGGCTTCGGGTAGCACATCGGGGATAATAAAGTCCCCTCTGATGGTGTGAGTTCGCACGTTGGGATTATGAAATGTCCGCCCGGCACGTGACCGGAGGAAACGTTTTGCGGTGCTCGGTATTAGACCAATTCGGGGTTAGACCGACCTGACCAACCCCTATCCGATGCTTGGCGGAGAAGAATCAACGAAGCGAGCCTGGCCCAATTTGCCCAACGCACCTGAGCGCATCTCATCTCCGGTACCCTCCCAACCCCTCTACTCGTCAATTCCATAGACCAACGGTGAAGAGCGACTCGAGCGCTCAGATAATCCAAAAGTCAGGACTGGAACCAACGACCGCATCGAAAAATTCTATGCATGACCATCGCAGCGATGGTGACGTTGACGAGGTTCCGCGGCCTCTCAAGAAGCAGCGAAAACAACGACCGTGCTACAGCTGTGAAGGTGAGTCGACCCTTGGAACAGGTAGGCACAACATCAGAGGACTGATGCTCGATCCCCAGAATGTCGCAGACTCAAGATGAAGTGCGATCGGCAAGGTGAGAATTATGCTACGTAGAAATTGAGCCGAATCTGGAACATTGTTGCAGTGCCGTGCTCAAACTGTCTCCGGCGACAGAGGGTTGAGTTTTGTAAGGGGCCTAGGACCAGCACGACACCGTCTCGGTTCGTTTGTCAGCGACCCTGGTAGGCATTATGCAGCTGACTCAGTCCCCCAGCCAAGAGCCCATCGAATACTCTGGACGACAGCATGATGAAAGACAAGCTCAGCAGCAGCAACCCTCTACCGACCATGCTCAGCATGTCTCTCCCGCTTCTGTTTTCCTCGACCGTCAACACATGCAGCAGAGACGACAGTCTTATCCGCTTGATCCATCACAAGGCGAGTTTCATGCTGAGGCAGGGATACCAGCGCCAGGGTCTGACTTTGGCCTTGGACATACACGGATGCACGGGGTCAACGGCAACCACGAAGTGCTTGACCAATTTGCCCTTCCCACCCGCGCTCCTGATCCCAGTCTTGCTTCAGAGCGTCCAGACAGGACGTCTGGACCTTTGGAGAGTGTTCCGAGTGGCGCGAGCGGTCCAGGCAACTCCGCGTCGCAATCTGTGGATGATAGAGAACAGAGCGGTTCCTACGGCACACTGATGCTGAGTAAAGGAGGTCGATCTAAGTATCTGGGTCCGACCGCAGGGAGTGAATGGCTCAAAGAGGTATGCCGTCTACTTTTGAAGGTGCGGAAACTGAATCATTCTAGTCGGAGACACAAGATGTAGCGGACACCCCAGTGATCACTCGCGCTCCTTCTCCGGATATGCTCCAGTCTTCACATCCCTATGTACCTGATCAGACTTCCAACGCCACTCCCGTCGCCTTTCCTTTCAACGCTTCGCCGGCTCGCATTAGTACGCGGGATCTGCTTTCATGCCTTCCTCCGAGAGACGAGGCGTGGTCACTGGCCGAATCGTACTATCGCTATTGCGCTTGGCAGTGAGTATTAGAGACGAAAAGCCAGACAAACGGTTGACAAGGTGTAGCCACGATGTCGCTCCCAAAATCCCGTTCAAAACGACGTTTGATCGTGTCTATACGCTTGCGGAGGGAGGCTCTTTGTCTCCTCCGGGTCATCCTCAAGAGATTGCGCTCGTTTTCGTCATCTTGGCTCAAGGCACCATGTTCAACATTGAGATGCCCAATTTCGATTCATCTGCCGAAGATTGGCTACACCTCTCGGAACGTGCTTTGGTCAAGGGGGACTTTCTCTCAAACAACACGATCGCTGGAGTGCAAACCCTTGTGAGTTCCTGGAATCACCGCTCCTGGCCAGCCGCTTACAATCCTTAGCATCTGATGGCGCATTTGCACCTGTGGGTAGGCTAGCAAGGAGCATCTTGCATCGCTAACAAGTTAGTAGGCACTTGGACAAAGGTCGACGCGGTGACAATGCTTGGCCGCTATGGGGTCTGGTCATGCGTTTGGTCCAAGCGGTAAGCGTAGCGCTTGAAGTGAAGGCACAAGGCTGATAAGCTACATAGATGGGTATGCATCGGGACGGTGGTCGCTGGAATTTACCGGAGAATGTTGTCGAGGAAAGGCGCAAGGTGTTCTGGGAGTGTAATGCTGCCGATATCTTCCAGGCACATTGCTTCTCAAGGCCGTATGGTTTGCCCCACACATGCCCTGGGCAGAGCTCAAGTCAGACAGATCTTCTATCAATCCCGAGCATTGCGACACCGCCTTCCCCTCTGAGCCACAAAATCTGAATGGGGAAAAGAGCTATTCCAGACTCCGATTTGAGCTATCACAACTCTCAGCTGAGTGTGTTTCCCTAATCAGGAATTGGCGTCACATCTGATCAAGCTTCAGGATTCTCCATATGGCATTGAAGGTGCGGAAACCAGCGTATTCCGACGTGATCAACTTGGATCTTAAGCTGTATGTATTCGCAAATGACAACTATTCTGGAAGCTGAAACACACTAGCTGTGAATTTGAACGCAAAATCCCCTTCCCCTTACGTTGCCGAGCCGCGTTCTTGTCAATGCCCTCTCGGTATCCTCAAGTTGAAGCGGCGAACGAAGCTTCTCCGGAACCGTCCCGGAGGTCGATGACCATTTCCTTTCAAGTCCATCTATCTATCCTATCAAGGTCGACTCTGAGCTGACATCGACTAGCAAACGAATCTTGCACTCAACATCTCTGAGACAATCATCAACCTTCATCGACCATATTACGCAAAAGCTCTCTACGATGACATCGATCGCGTCAAGTCTGTCTATGCGCCTTCATTCTTGACAGTGATAGAACGTTGCGCAGTAAGGCCGTCTTCGCAATCTCCGTCAACGGTGATTTGACACTGGCAGATTATTATTGGCATTGTGAGAGACATTCACACACGTTTTCCCGCTGTAAGCACCAGGCAGTGGAACTTTTGGGTACGCGCTTATTCCTCTGTCTGAAGTCGAAATCGCTCATATTTGTTTCTAGTATCACGTATTCGGTTCGGCTCTATGCTTAGGAACGCTCGTGTTGCGGGATCCAGGCAATGCCATGGCCAATTTTGTCCTTGCACAGATTGATGCCGCTATTGGCTTATTCACCTCCCTAATTCAACATGGCGCTAGTACTCCCCGATACAACCGGAACTTGCAGTGGCTCGTGAGGCTTCGCGCACGAGTGTCTTCCAAGATCTCGATGGCGTCTCACGCACGAAAGCTCGACTCGCAGCGAGACGCTGAGCTGGACCGGCGAAGAAGTAGTGAGGAGGGAGAGGATGGTGAGGATGTAGAGCTGCTCGGCTGGCGGACCAGGCTCATCGAGCGGGCGGGTCATGAACGTCAGACTATCAGAACTATTCCCCTCGCTACGATCCCGACCTCTTCTCACACGACACATATTTCGAATCCCCCGCCGAACGACAACTACCTCGGGGGTCCTCAAAGTCGGCAAAGAATGGCAGAAACGACGATGCCCAGCGCAATACGTCCTCTGGTTACTCCCGACTCGACGAACGATCTTGTGAGATCAACATCTGGACTGCTAACGATCAGAGCTGACATGCCGCAGCTACGTGAGTTTTGGGATCCAATGCTTCTGCAAGATATATTCGAAGCTCCCCACGACCAGCCAAATGTGAGTGAACATTCAACTTTTTCCAGTATAGCATCTAATAAACCTTCCAGCCATTTCTGGACAATGGCACACCCTGGTGGGAATACGCTGCTCCAGATGCCACCCAAACAAGGACTTGATCAAGCGAAAATTCTCATATATGTACCAATCGAGATGAAAAAGATATGTGCACTCCAGCGAAGTATGATCCTCCTTGGTCGAATTGGCGCTCATTGGCGCTCATTGGCGCTCGTTGTTGCGAATAGCCCTGATTCGTACAGATAAACACAAAACCCAGATGAGCCATCCTCAAAACCATCGCCGCCCCAGCTCAGTGACCGTTGACCTTGGCAGCCTCCATGATAGGCAGACCATTGTCGTCAAAGTAGACTGGCACGCCGTTGCGGAACGAGTACTGCAACGCAGTGGCAATCTTTGCCGCCTCATAGGCATCATCTGGAGTGCAAGTGAGGGGCTGTTTGTCGAGGACGGCACTAGCGAACTCGGCAAGGTCGTTGATGAACGACTTATCGTAGAGAATGAACGCGTCGGCGGTGGTGGCTGTACGCACACCGTACGAGTCACGAATCTCAACACGGTTCGATGTAGAATTGCCATTGATGACAGAATGACCCTTGGTACCACACACGCGGGTCATGCCCTCAAAACCATTGGTAAGCGTGCGGCCCAGGTGGGTGGTGAGGACCTTGCCATTGGCAAACTCAACCAGACCCCATCCGTTGTCGCAATCGCCGTACTTCGCAAGGTCGCTGTAGACAGCCTGCTGGCCAATGGCAATGACTCTGTTGACCTGCTTCCTGGGGTTGGTGAGGCCCGACTTGACATCCAGGAAGTAGCGGCCGATGTCAATCTGTGTTACGTCAGCGAGGTAATCCAACCAGGTATGTGAGTGACCGACATCGTGGACACCCATGTCAACAAAGATGCCTCCGGACTGCGCAGAAAAGGTGACGAAGAAGCCTATTGGATGATTAGCCCGGATATTCTGGGGACAAAAGTCAGAGGAACCGTTTACCAGAAGGGTCCTGCTGATCAAGGCAGGTGGTCTCGACAGCGTGGATCTCGCCGAGCGTACCGTTCTCGACCAGCAGCTTGGCAGCACGATACGAGTCATCGTCTAGCACCGGTCAGCCTCAAACACCCCAAGCACAGAGGTCAATATCACCCACATCGTCTACAGAAAGGAACCAGGAACTTCAAGTGAGGATTGGCAGCGGCCTTGGCGAGGACCTCTTCAGTAGTGATGATGTCCACCGAGATCGGCTTCTCGCTCATGACATGCTGGCAGCAGTCAGCTTGAGGGGCTCCCGAACATGGCTAGACCATTGTCAGCAGACTCACGAGACCTAGGTCAAGAGCCTGGCAGATGAGGGGGGCGTGAGTAGCCGTCGCGGTGGAAATGAGGACAGCCTCTGCACCGCTGTTCTTCATGCAATCCTCGGGATCCGCGAAGAACTTTACTGAAGGTGGAAGGTTGGCCGCCGCCCATTCACCGCTACCGGGCTTGGTGTCGCAGGCGGCGACGAGCTCGATGCGAGGCTGCTGAAAGGCAAGGATGCGAGCGCGGATGGCACCGAGCCGGCCGAGGCCGATCAGGGCAATCTTGAGACGACGAGGGTGAGCGACCATCTTGTACCTGTTGACTGCTGTCGTCATTCGACTACAGCGGCAAGCAAACAAAATGGGAGTTGGGAAATATTGAGGCGCGTCTTGGTCGTGTCTACTGTTCCATCTCGAGGTTTTCTATCGCTGGGACATTGCGCACCGGACCAGATCACAACCCGGAGCCCCTTGGCTCAAGACCCCAGTTCGATGCCAGTGCATACTGAATCGCTCCTTTATCCGACGAGGGTCGGCGTTGACCGGAAACAGCTTCTACAGCATTATCGGAGCTCTTCCACCCCATCCAAGATTAATTCGGACATTTTGGGGTGGAAAATCCTCCACGTCCGACTACGGACGTCAACGTTTTTGCCCGATAGTGTTCCCGGAATTGGCTTGGAGATTCCTTCGATTTCACTTGAACCGGAGTTTTGCTTTGACCCGCAACTCTTGCGATCATCCTGTATGTACCACTACAGCTATTGCCTTTGCTTGAATGAGAATCTGTACCCGTTCTCCCATCTGGTGCGCTGCTGTCCTCCTAACTCCGTTCGGCTGGGTAAGTCGACATCTTTAGAATTTGCTTCCACCCTGCTTGCCCGCTGCCGGTCCCGTGATCCTCCTCGTTCATCGCTGCCATGATTTTGTCTGCTTAGAGAACGTCTCCGGCGACGCACACTCTCTCACGCTTCAGACTGAATCTACACACTAACATTTGATGACCACTTACCGCCCGTGACTATTCAGAAGCCTAAAGTCGAGACGATGTTTGCAGTCTGCGGCCCGGCGGCCCCGGGAAGAGCACTGTTGCCTCCTATCTCTCCCAAGAACTCGCCATTCCGTACCTAGAAAAAGATGATGATACGTCCTGCTGTTTTTCATGCTGTTTTTTCTGGCGCAGAACTTTGTTAACATGCACGGTATCACGCTCCAGCTGAACGAGCCAGAATCGACAGTTGGCACTCCATCGAATGATGCTGACCGATGGGACCGGCTCATTACTCTCTGTAACGAAGCCATGAAACAGTTAGAAACATCCAATGCCGTGGTTTTCACCTACTCCACACTCAGGCGCAGATGCCGTAATGTTCTCTGTGTAGCGTCCTATGAGTATCTTACAGTGCAAATTCACTTCGTCCACTTCAAGGTTGGCGAAGAACACATAAAAGCACGAATTAAGGCCCGTGTAGGTCGTTACATGAAGGCGCGTGTAGTCCAGAACCAGATGGAAGCCCTCGAGGAACCAGCGCAGGACGAACTTGATGTTGTCAAGGTCGATGTGCAGCAAGAAAAGGATGTCGTTTGCAATGATGCCCTGGCTAAAACCTATGCTAAGTTGAAGGAGCTGGGAGCACTAACAGCCAACGCTATAACCACCCAGTGGCTGCTCCGAACTCAGCAGCTAATCTTGGTGCGATAGAGAAAGCTAAGCAGAATCAGAATGACACCTAATTGCAATGCGCCTGATCTCTTCGATTCTAAGTGGGTTTTGAGGAAATTCCCAACGGGTGTCATCGCATTTTGCTTCCGCATTTAGATCCTACACACTCTTCGACCCCGATCTCGCTGGTGCCCTCCATGGTCCCTTAAAGCAGTGAGTAAAGAAAGGAGACGAGACATGCTTCTACGACGACAGGACCAGGATTCTGGTGCGGCACACGCGCCGATAACCCTGCCACGCGCTCCATAGAAGGTATCCGAGCAGTCAGTCCTGAAATTTTCTTCAATGCTACCAGCTGTCCATCCCTTGCATCTATCCAGAATTTGCTGCCTGTCCAAGAAGCATAAAAGCAGTGGGCTTCTTCATACTCTAAGCAACTACTCTTCAACTTCATGCGCTGCACATGTGGATCGTTTGGGATATCTTTAGAGATATCAATAACGAACCGTTGCGCTCAGAGCATGAATATAATTGACGGGACCGGAAACTCGAGTAAGAGGGCCTGCTAGATACCTGAGTGCGAAACAGAAATGATTAGGTAGAGTACAGCATGACAATGTAAAGAGTTTAGGTAGTAGACCGGAATGTAAGTCTCCCCATCGACCGCGTATTTGGAACCATTCGCGGAAGACGAACGCCAGTACAGCCGGAACTTCCAGAAAGAGGAGGACTCGACCCTTACATTTCTCAGCATCGGATTTCATCTATTTTATAGACGATACCGAAATGTGCTCGCTATTGATGAAGATCATATCGATTGATACTGAACGCTCGCTTCCCTACATCCCTCATTTTACGTAGAGCCTACATCCTTATTATCAAGGGCGCCCCCTATTACAAACCCTAATTCATCTACCCTTCTGATTCGTTTATGGATATGGAAACGATAAGTCTGGTAACTTAGCTAGGCTACAGCCTTATGTTGGTAAGGCTCTATACAGTGGACGTTATAATGTCTGGAGCGATACTCTAGACCACATGAACGATCTAGACTATAGAGCTATTGAACTTAATAGCAAGGAGGAGGAACTTCAGTTCGAGTATACAAATAGCTCTTCAGTACCTTAAAAACTACTTTCTCTTGGCTCCGATCAGAACACGAGTAAGGGAGCCGAGATATTTACTAAGAAACATGAGGAAGATTGACTCGGACACATGAGGAGTTTAGGTATATCGGGACTGCAACAGGTTGCCTCGGTGGGGATGGTACGTTGGAATTTGGACGGTGCTTGTCTAAGAAACCATTTCGCGAGAATACGACACTTGTCAGGGCTTGGTCGGTGCCATCATAGCGCATTCCTGGTATCGTAGTATCGCGGGACTCTACTGCGTTGAAATTTTCGACATGCCACAGCAAAGAGATCTAAGATGACGGACTCGCTGCGAGCACGCAGGACGCCCGTGGTTCGAGACCTGTACGGCAATAGATCTGTTGACTCGGTGGAGACTATAATCGTAGTGTTGATGATTGCCGTGTGGCAACTAAACCGCCTACGTTCTCATAAAGGGCAGCCTATTAAAAAAGAGACTCATGGTAGCTTGGGTGTGATTTTCAATTTGTGTTTTGAATCCAATGAGCCCCTCTCTTTTGTTAGTGCACAATCGGCGATCTGTGACCATCCACGCCATCGCACATATCTCCGATTATGCCGGTCTCCGTGACGCGCTTCAAATGGTCTTCTCATTATGTCCGACAGGAGATGAGAAACACCCGGGGCAGGAAAGCTTTTCCTCATGGTAAATGGTATTGGATCTATCCATTCTCATGTTCTGGATCTGTGAAATGGGAGTCAGAAAGCCGGGCCTTGCCCTTTAACATCTAACAGCCATGTTGCCCCTGCGTGTTTTCCAATTCGTTCCCTGTGTCAGTATGATGAAGAGTTGAACTCTCTGTGTACGAATCCCCGTTCCCACGAGCGCTGTTCCCTCCCAGAAAGACTCGTGACATGTCCGAATATCCAAATCCGCAAGCCCATGCCCGCGAGCAAGATCTCGCCGGGAGAGTTGCGATCATCACAGGCGCGAGTCGAGGCATCGGTTATGCGATTGCGCTTCACCTTGCTAGGCGGGGTGCCGGCATTTTGGCGACCTCCACAGGCGCCAGCACGCATATCGACAAGCTGCGGGACGAGGTCAGCTCTGCCTATTCACGCTCCGATACGCAGCGTCCGAAAGTGGTGCATCTTGTTCTCTCCCTGACGGATCTTGAAGCACACCGCAAGATCGCAAATGCAGTTCAGAGCGAATTTGACGGCTACACAGACATATTCATCAACAATGCCGCAGTGGCTGACCGCACATACCCTGCTGAGCTCGAGGAAGAGACATTAGACAGAATTCTGCTATGTAACATCCGAACGCCGGCGATGATCGTGGACGAATTGGTGAAGCGACGATGCTTCAGGAGGGAAAGCAGAATTATCTTCATCAGCAGCGCTGAGAGTGTCAACTGCGACCCTTCAGTCACCATCTACGCCTCGACGAAAGCAGCGAACGAAGCAATGGTTCGCTGCTATGCCAATGCGTTTGGCGGGAAGAATCCTGCGTTTGACTTCATGGCCGGAAGCACCGCGAACAGCGTGTTCACGGGTCTCACGGACACGTCGGGACCACAGCAGTTTGGACCGAAGTTGTGGCAGGAATTGCAAGAGTTTTGGGTCAGTAGACAGGCCATTCCACGGCTGGCCAACCCTGATGACGTGGCAGACGTGGTAGGATTTTTGTGCGGCAGAGATGGCAGATGGGTCACAGGAAGCAAAGTCAGTGCAAATGGAGGAAGTATTGCAGTTTTCTAGTTCAATATGTTGGCCAGCCCTAACTCTGTAGGGTAGGTGGTCGATCACATAATGGCACCGCTGACTTTTTCACCTACAATCCTAGATCGGTCGCTACCAAAGTAGATAGATTTCTCCTCTCAATCAGTCAAGTTATCGACCTTGGCCCAACGCAACATAGTGTTTGCCTTCCTGCTGCAGGTGCTAGTCGCATACCACTTTCGGATGGGCCTGATTGTAAAGGTGGCGTCGCTCGTATTGCCTCGCTTCCGAGCTCTTGTATAGGCAGGGAAGTGAAATTTCAGAACAAAGCAGCAATTTTAGCCATGCCATTACCACACACAGTTATGCCCTCGATATCAGACTGGTCTGAGAGGCATTTCCTGGAGCTACTTGGTCTTCGGAGTCGTAATTGGAATGATAGCATTGGGACCTTTCGAGTTTGAAGCAAGGATATTATATCAAGGTGCGTGTTCGTTCTACCGACTCGACTAGCGCGATAGAAATGTCATGATCTGGTTCCAACGATTTGCTACTAAATGTACCTTGTCTGAATATCACATCGGCCTCTGAGAGGTGCTGTAGCCATAATCAACATACAGGATGCTCGTAGGAATCCGGTAACTCGAGGGAGCGAGACTTGCGAGTGCCATCCAGAACGAATGGAGAAGAATGTCCTATTGCTTGATTAAGAAGTTGGACGGCCCATCCCACGTACTATCTTATGAGCTCCGGTCTAGATAAGTTTTGTTCGTAAATGTCTTCGGACTTTTCCTTGCTATGCTAAGGCGTGCAGAGGAAGTCGAGGAAACTTTGACTGGCTGGTCTTGACGCGGTCACCTGGGTTCTGATGAAGTGACACCTAGGAAGAGGTCGCCACGTTCTCGACGAATAGGTACAAAGAAATGGTATGACTCAGTAATGCTACTGTACTGACGAGATGACGTTCTTAGGCGTCAGGGCTTTTCCTCCACGCGGCGCTCTTGGCAATCGGCACACTGGTTTCGGCTATTCAGCCCCTTCAAATTAAAGTTTTGGTTATCGTCTTCTGTGTGGAACTTGCCACTGCTCCGCAGACATTACAGGCATGTGACATTTCCCTCATTTCATCAGAGATTGCTCACTGCTTCTCCTCAGCTTAATATCTCACGGAACGAAATCAACCATCGTCAAGAAGTCATAGCCATGGTGAAAACACTGCCGTTCGCCGACCGCCAGATTCCTTCCCCGGGATTTGGTGCAATGGGCCTCAGTTTCGGGTTAGGCTCCAATTTAAGCCTGCAAGATGCCGAACCGGTACTGCTGAAGGCACTCGAATTAGGGTGCACTTTTTGGGACACTGCGGTGAGTCCTAAGTTGGGCTGCTGTGGGTTTCAACGATGTTGAAGGACTACGAAACAGGTTGTCTACCGAGCTGGTGTGAACGAGAAACTTCTTGGTGACTTCATTAGAAAGCACAACGGTCGGGACAAAATTTTTCGTACGTGGCAGAAAGATTTGACTGATTAGAAACGCCACGACTCATGCGCAGTTAGTGGCGTCAAAGTGCGGTTTCAATTGTCTGAATGGTGGGGATATGGCAGTCACGAATTCAGCTTCTCACATCAAAGAATATATTGAAGGCTCGATTGAAAGACTCGGTTTCGCGCCCGATCTCTACTATCTACACAGAATTGACCCGAGTAAGTGTGCTGATTGTGAGATTTGTCTCCATTGCTAATATATACACCTAGAAACGCCTCTTGAGGAGTCCATTGGGGCACTGGACGAGATCCGGAAGGCTGGCAAAACCAAGTACATCGGTCTTTCAGAATGCTCAGCCAACACGCTGCGCAAGGCAAACTCGAGTGAGTCGCAGAGACCACGTGATTATTTTTTGACTTTCTCTTATGCTATCTACAGTCGCAAAAATCGACGCCGTTCAAGCAGAGTATTCAGCCTTTGAGACCTTGCACGAATCAGACGGCCTGATTGCTACAGCCAGAGAACTGGGTGTAGCGTACGTGGCTTACAGCCCTCTTGGTCACGGATGGCTTGTCGATGACTTTCCCTTTAAGACGCCGGACGATTTTGCGCCAGATGATTTTCGTCGCACAGGTAAACTCTTGTAGGTATATTACTTGATCAGATACTGATGTTACTTCTCTCAGCCCCCAAATTTCAGGGCGACAACTTTTACAAAAATAAAGCCATCGTGGAACAGCTCAAGAAGCTTGCTGCTCGCAGGGGCTGCACTCTTCCTCAAATAGCCCTCGCCTGGGTTGCCGCTCAGGGAATGATTGCGATTCCTGGCACGACCAAGCCGGGACGACTGGAGGAAAACTGGGCCTCCAGAGATATCGACCTGACGGAAGAGGAACAACAAGAAATGCGAAGAATTATTGACGCGGCAAAGCCACAGGGAAATAGATACAACGAAAGGGCGCAATCTTTAGTAGGTCATTGAGCTGAGTCGTCAGTCGCTAAGCATCTAAACAACCCCTAAATAACTCATGCCTGGGAGCTTCTTATAGTCAAAACTTCTCCTGTTGCATTACCACTACCTTCCCGGGTATGAACGGAACTATTCGACCTTAGTCAGGGACTCTGGCTTCTGACATCTGTCGTCTATTCCAAGGAGAGAGCCGCCCGCCCCTGTATTTGCTTTGTTCTGTCTCGTCCTGATGGTAAATGAGAGGCTTTTTGGTGCAACGCATATATCCGGATTAAGTCCTGAAGATGCCAACTCCATTGATGCTTTAAAATTTGACTCATATAGGCCAACATACTGCATAGCTCCCCTAAAGCCCTTATTGTATCGGAACTCACGTCGCAGAGTAAATATGTGATTGGCAACTAAAAGGGCTGATGATGGTGATTCTTCTCAACTAGTGAGAGCAAGGCCAGCAGCGGCAGCCAACACCGCAGATGAAAGCTTGAGTCCGTCACGGCCAATCAGGATATGTATAAAGCATGTTCTGCAATCGTTCGATTCCCGAATTTGGTCCGTCTGTCATAAAGTCTTCGAAAGAGAATCCGTCCGGATTGGTGACAACTTGGCCAAAGGGATCATCCGTAAGCATGGCGGAAAGCTCTGCATTGCCTGTCGCCAACTCGCTTGATGCCATCAAGTCATTCGATGCCATGGATGAAGCTGCCCAGGCGGGGTCTCCAATGCCAGGCCGACTGGACGAGTCTGCAGAGCCAGCCTGATTGTGGGCCTTTCTCACAGTGTCTCTCTCATCACCGGCTATCAAGTCGTTCATTAAGCTTGGGCTAGGCGACCCGTCGGCTTCGTCCGATGATGAGAGAAGATCCGGTGGGTTGTCGTATTTCGTGGGGAATCGACCACGGGACAAAAAGAAATCCAGTGTGTCGCTCATCTGAATGTACTTTTGCGGGTCAGAGGTCACGATATCCATTCCGCCCCCGCTCTTGGCGGGGCCCGGCATCTCAGAAGGTCGGCTCAACCCCTTAAACCCTGTTGGCGTGTGCTCGGATCCAGATCTTGCTGTTGACGGCGAAGTAGCATCTTCTAGGTTCATATGGCCCACTAATTTTGACATGTTGTCAAGAGCCCTATCGGTACCTTCATATCTCAATTGCAGCACTCGCAGGAAATCTTGGTATATATTGGCACCACGGCTGTGGGTGCCTTTCTGCGTGCTCGCACGGCTGCTCAGATCCAGGTTGTAGCAGATTGACGGCAGCGCCAGGAAAGCCACCCTGAAGCGGGGGTTAATTTGAATCATCTCCGGAGACATCTTAGAACTCACATGCTAACGGGAGAGTAGGTTATCATCCCAGCATCGATGATCGCTCGTAGGCTCTGTGCAATGCCGCGAAGGGAAGCCTGGAGTTCGTTCTTCGTCTGCAGTCGTTCAAAGTTGTATTGTGCAGGCTTGTTCAATGTAAGCCTGATTCGATAGTTGCACAGTGCAGCTTTTGCCGACCTGAAGTGTGATTAGTAACATGCTGTCAGTGATACACCGATAAAAGCATCTTACTGGAAGTAGATGGTGAGAAGACTCGTGAAGAGGACGACAACATTAAAGTTTTTGTCATATTGATCATATAGTCCGGTGTTGCTCGCCACTCCGTCATGCCACTCATTCAACTCGTCAGTGTATGTGTAAATACGCTTGAGAAAGTCAAGACGTTCTCCGATGGTTTGAACTCCATTGGCCGGATATAGTAATTGGAGAATGTCGGTGAGCACAGCACAAAGCTTGCATAGCGCTGACAGAGACTGTAGCAGTTTCGTCTTCGCCGGAACGCTGCCCACCCATGATCGCCCGATTTCGCTTTTAAAATCATCGTCCGTCAGCGGGGGCCATAATTCTTCGAAGGTCGCTGAAAAAATAGATATAGGCCTGCGAAGTCCTAATGCCATAGTTCTGTCGCGGATTATACAACACCACCAGACTCGTTTTAGTTGATTGTGTTTAGCGGAGTCTCTAGCTGCATATGTAGAGTATCGGTCTGCGCCTTCCATTCTGGCAAGCTGAATGGCTATGCCGAGCCAGTAGGTATTGATCAGTGGCTTGTTGAGTGGTACGTGGAAGGTCATCAATAGTGCCCCTTGAGCCTTTGCCAGGTCGCTTCTCTCGATGTCAAAATCATACATGGCCTACGTAGACATTAAGCCTAGAAGTGAATCAGGGGAGACAGCAAACCAACCTTGACGCGACGATAATAGACTGAGCGCGCCTCACGCACGCTTTGGAAGCCTATATCTTGAATCGTAGAGGAGGATACGAACTTTTGCCCAAATCAGCATCTTCTCCAGCACAACACCCCCCCTCCCCAAAAAAGGAGTAAGTGGGATGAAGCGAGGACTCACGCTGCATGCTACCAGCAGCATTGATTCAAAAACCAATAGAGACAGGCGAGAAGTGAGGTGAACAACAGATTGACGGTTGAGGTATGTCTCCCAGAACTTGCCTTCGTCGACCAATGGTAAATGTGGGTGGAGATAGAGAAAGTACGCTCGAACGAGCTCGTCCAGGAAATTTCGCTGAGGTAACTGGAAGCAGCCAATG